CGCCATATTCTTTCAAATACCTCTGATGCAACAGGATCTAGAAAATTAGTTATGTCATTCATTTGGTCTGGAGTCGCTGTGAGGTTGGGTTTGATGCGATACTTAAGCGGATTGAAAAGGTTCATATCAATTTGAAACATTTTTATATCATCCATATGGTTGCAGTTGCAATTTTCATCATTGTTTGTCAATAGAGTTTTCAACATGTCTGGAATAGAGACAACCGGTATAAGCTTGTCTGCTTCCAGAGTAACTCGCCTCGCTGAAACTGTCGAAAATCGCGTCGATATTAGTGTTTCGTGCCTCTAAGTAACCCTCATGTTATGTATAGAAGAAATCAGACCAGTAGGTAAATAGGTCTTTATTTTGACCTTCGTGCAGTCACAGTGGATCGTGGGATTCTTTATTCAGACAAACAAAACCTCTCAACATACAATATAAGATAATTAGAAATATAACACCTAAACAAAATAAAGAAGTGAACAAATATCTGAACTATGCTGTTTTGACATATGCCTAGTTGCTTGAGATCAACTCTTAACCAATCAACCTAAGCTGTTACAAGTGTTAGGTTCTGTCGTTTTCCCACGTTTGACTGGACGCCTAGAAGCAGGGGTCTTCATTTTCTTTTGTGGCATGAAAAGAAAGTGACGTATAGCAGATGGATTGAACAAATTGTTAAAAATAGAAACGGGTGAAAAAGTCAATGCTGAGGGCTCAAGATAGTCTAGAAATCAAAACTTATGTTTAAAACAAGAGTCAATGTATCGTGAAGATTAGTGAAGTTGTCAATAGCAGCAAGAGAGGAGAATGGCAGGAAGATTTTAGTAGAAATGTAGTACGTCAGTATATGTGTAGAGGCAAAATAGAACGTAAAGATGCACATTGCGTAAATGTTAACATATGTATTACATGGAACGATATCCTTCTATAAAAGTATAGTCTATAACTGTCGATAATTAGTATCAAACAATCAACAAGCGTACAGTATGTGGAATATTTATAAACTGAAAGTCTGCATTAGTTAAAATTAGGGGTGCAGAGATAAGTAGTTTAAACGATTATTATCATCTAAGATTATTATGATGCTTTGTGACGAAATATATGAAACAGCTTTTTGGATAAAAATACTGACCCAAAACTATGACAGACTCACCGACTTGGACAGGTAATTTCGGAAATTGAATGAGTTATAGTATCCATATACGATTTAAAGGATAGTATATAAAATAGTGATTACGGTGCTTTATCTTACACGATTATATATATTTCTTGACATTGGGTAGATGTCTGAAAAGACTCTGTAAGTACATAAAGTACGCGGGTTACAGCACCCAAACACGATATCAGGAATACAATGAAAATACGAAATGCAGTTCTTCGTCGAATATGATTATATACGGTTTTAAAAATGACAGAGTATGGTTTGATAAAATAGCCAAAATAAGCATGTAATTATGTGATTATGAATTATTATGTAAATGTGATCATATATACCATGAATATGTTAAGCTCAGATCTTATCATATAGTATGTAAACATGTAGACAGTTCATAATTGAGTTATCTTCCGTAATTCCGAGAAAAAATAATCAATCTAGCTCTGTGACAATCCTAGATGAAGAAAACTGAAGGCCTCAGCCTGAAAAAAAGTCCAGTCCGTAGCGCGCGGTTCCTCTACGCTTTAATTTTTTACCTTTGTGTCCCCTATGTTCACATGGACACACTTGGCTGAATCGTTAGGTACCAATCATTTTATGGACTAGTTAACCAAAGTATCTAAGTCTGCCCGAAGTTTACATGTATCCGCGTCTCCAGACATTTCTCTCCAGATTTTCACATCATCAGCGTATAATACCGCTGGGAAATTAACTATCCTCGCGGGTTCATTAACGTGCGATATGAAAGACAAAGGACCTAAGAAATAGCCTTGCTGCGCTCCTTTATCTTTCGGTTTTTAGGAATGGCACTTGAAATTTATTCTTACTTTCTGGTTACGACCTACCACGAAATCCTTAATCCATTTCAGGAGAGGTCCGGCAGTGTCTAGATTTTCCAGCTATAGATGTAGTCTATTTTTGACACCGTTTCCAATGCTTTGCTGAAACTATGTAAATAGCATCCACTGGTTTTTCATTATACAGAACCTTTATTCGTCTTTATCTTTCTGTAAATAGACTTATTGTGCAAGATAAACTTTTTCTGAAATCATGTTGTCAGCTGTTTAACAAGTTTTTGGTTTCCACAAAGGTCATTATAACATTTTTTGATCATTCTTTCCACTATGGTATCAGCGAGGCTGACAGGTCGGTCGTTTGTTGGATGTCTTGGTCCTGTTTTACGTATGGGAGCGACAATCGCATCGTTCCAGTCCATAGTAACACACCTTGGTCAAGTGATATATTAAATATTAGTCGGTTAGGCTGCAATATATTGCGCAATATGTCTCAAGATTTTGGGGTGTATTCATCCGGTCTGGTTGAATTTTTCTTGTCTAAGAGCCTTAAGCACATTGTCTCGAACAAAGTCCACGGTGAGCAGACGGTTTGTTCACTTTGTATTTCTTCGTCTAGAAGAAGCTGTTAAGTGAAAAATGCTCCAAAATAGTTGCCATAGCCTTTGCTTTGTCCTGATCATCCTCTATCAACTGAGATTTCTTTTCGTACGTAATTCGGTTGGGAATCCAATGCTGCATCCTTTTTCTGTAATGTATGTACGAGAATAGTCTCTTAGGTGGTTTCAGTACAGATTGAGCCAACCACTTTTCACATTTTCTCTAAGCTCTACGATTGTATTTACGCATTTATTTCGTAACGATCGGCAGCATTCCATCTTATTTGCTGTGCAAAGGCTCATGGCGTTCCAGCATATCTTATTTCGCCTTAATAAACGTTGGATATCGCTGTCTATCATGTATTGGCCGTGCTTCTTCTTCATTGGGACTGTTCAGGGTATCAATGATTGTGTTACCTGATTGTGTGACTGCCGGAAATTTGCCGATTGCTCAGTTTTCAGCCAAGGCGGCTGAGCTGATCGCCTTCACTTCTGCCTTCAATGTGTTAGGATGGGCAGGAGCAACTATTTGACAGGCCAACTCAGCCATAAACGTGAATAAGATGTCCGCGTGATTACATCTCCCTATGGATGGGAGGAAGGTTGTCTGACTAACATCATAACCGTGTGTGAGGACTAGGATCAAGATAGACGAAGAGTGTTATAGATCATATCTTGTGAGATCTTTAATGTAGTGGAATAAAGTTAGGGAGAATGTGGTTTCCAATAATTTGGAATTAAATGTTGTTGATGAATCTGTTTCAAGAGTCATCCCCTACATATTATGGACTGTGGTATACAAATAGTTCAATATCTTGCTGTTGCCATTCTAGTCTACAGTGCACCAGTTCACGTGTCCCTGGGTCGTGTGCCACTGTCTCAACAGCTCGTGTGGTTAACGTAAATTCCGTGTACAGGATAACCCCCCAACCCTACGGTCTAGTCTGTCAGCCGTAATAAGTAAGAAATCAAGAAATTCGACTTCACTATTGTACACCTTTGACGGTAACCATGTTTCAAAGATGGCAATAGCATCGACGTTTTCTGTGTCCACCACTGTTTTCAGCCCAACCATCTTATTCTGCAGCACACCAAAAATTCTGTAAAGAACCTCCCCGTACTCAGATTAGTTTGAGAATCGATTAGCTTCGAACTTTAACAGTGTAAAATCCCTTTGGTTTATGGTTTTTTCACCGTTTCAACTGCGCTAATTTATCTCTTCCTCAGCCGATCGTCTATTCATACGATTAAGCAGACTAAGATCCTTACGGAAAGTTATTCCGAAACGAATCGGTTTGCGTGTATTTCTTATCAGTAGGTTTTTTCTTCTAAAGCAAATGTAACTTTCAAGGGGCGACTTTTCTGCGTACTTTCAGAATTCACTTTTTGTCATAGTCTATAGTGCCTGAAGATGCTAACCCCTGTTACTGGAAGTAGCTTCCTTATCAAAGACGTAGTGTGGCCGAGGTAAAGTTCAAATCTAGCCCTTGGTTCCCGTTCGGAAAATTCACTTAATCTTGGAAAAATTACTGACCTGTAGCGAGGTTCGTCTTAACAAGTTGTGAAGTATGTTTCCTAAAATCTTCGAAGCCCTGGAGACCAGAAGCTAATGCTGCAGTCTGTTTCTTTTCTTTTCTGTGTGTGACTGTAAGCCAATCACTGATCTTATTACGTCTCTTGGTTACGTCATCCATACCGGAAAGCCTGTGCTCTCCCATAGTCCGTTTTGCACTGATGTGTGAATCCTGAGCTGAAATGGTTGACCTTTTCTATAATTTATTACTTCTCAGCGCGCTTTTTCTTTCTCTTGTAACGGTACTTACATCTAGGTGTTTGTTGTCTGCTACGTTATTAAGGCCCACTTCGATAGCCTCGTTCGAATCCGAAGCCGAACGCATGATAACGCCTTCTGCTTCCTCGAAGATTGAAAGCCACAGATCTGCTGCTGGCTGTTTATCGGAGGGATTCTTTCAAGTTATATTCAGCAGCTCAGTAGCCTTAAGACTCAGCGACGACTTTGCGAAACAGAATGCTCTGCACAACCAACGTTTTAGTGGCTTGCAGCACCTTTAATATAGAGCCAGTGTGAATCCTTAGCACACGTTGTGATACCACTTGTAGGAGTTGGCACGCTGTATTCCATTGTCGACAGGAAAAAAGCAAGCGGATTTACACAACGACGTTCGCCCGCACCATTAAAAATGTTGGTGATCTCACAGAGAGAACAATAACAGGAAAACCTCTTAAAGCTCAAATAAAGTAAACTAACAGAGAATTGATCTTTAGAATAAGTGTTTTCTAAAACTCTTAAGGTGATAGACACTGAACAAAAAGAGCTGAGATTTACGTGTTACTGTAAGCGAAAAATCTGACATGAATAAATACAAAAAGATTTTTCATTTTTAGACAACCAATAATAGAATTGTTTCGCGCGCGTCTCTGTTTTGAATTATATATGGACTGACAAACAGAAAATTCTTATTGTGACGATACAAGGTTTTGAAAACCTAATTGAATTGTGTAGCACGTCGAAAGTATTGAGACTATTGGTAGTTAGCAACGGTATAAATTGTTTCGCCTATACCTCAAGCGAGGCTTTTGAATTTGAACGTTACTTTAATGTAATAGTGACACTGTAATTTTCTGCTGAAGTGGTTATTTTTAGCACAAGTTTTGCGGACAATTAACTTTAATCAATTATAAATATTTGTCTTTTTTCATTGGTTCCAATAAAACTATGTCCGATCGACAGAAAAAATCTCGTTTGCGTGTGTTCGTTCTTTTTCTTGTCACCAAGTCCTTGTTCGTTTGGTTCTTTTTTAAATATTTGTCACTCAAATTTGTTAAACTATAAAATTATCCATCGCAGCCAATGCGCTTTCTTTGTGGCTTCCCGTTGGAATATTATTTCTCATGAATTAACTCATGAGTTGTTTCGGCAAGCTCGCCGACTTAGTCTAGTTTATAACTTGTGTATGTATCAATAAAAACTTAAGGACTGAAATCCTTGTATTTCGGTGAGAAATTTGTTCGTGATTGTGGACGAACAGAATTTTCGCATCATAGCTGATATCAGTTTGTGATGAAAGCCCGTTTTGATTCCTAACCCTATATCCTAACTTTTAGATCAGATATTCCTCTGAATAATCACCCTAATTGTTTTTATTTAACCTAAATTGTACTTTTTCCATCCCGGAGATGGCTTCGAGGGCTGCAGGTTATGGTATTGTGGCTCTGTTACCTGGAGAGAAACTTTCCGACCCTCATTATGCAGGTGATATTGTCTCACTGTAATGATACTCAAGCCATGCAATCTTCACTTAACTAGTTGATAATTATTGTCCGTACATATGATAGATGCTTTACATTTAGATATAAAGTGATTATGCAAGACCGGCTGAAGCCTGTGCCTGCACTCACTCTTGGTAGTAAGTCTTTAGAAGTAGTTGAGTTCGTGTATATGGGTAGCTGTGTAAGTGGTCATGGCCAATCTAAATATAGTTAAAGCTTGAGTGGTTTATATCGAACTGATCATCTATGGCGCTGTCGAGATGTTAGTCTTACTGTTAAAGGTCGAGTTTACAATGAGATAATGAAATTTTTGTACTGTGCATGTGAAACGTATCCTCTCCGATTTGAATATGTTAAGTGACTGAGTTCATTCACTGTTATCACCAAGGGATTTTTAATACTTAGTATCAGCACCTTATTGGTAATTCTGACGTTTGGAAACGTAGTTTCATATATTGACGACAATTCGGTTGGTGTCACCATTTCAAAACGACGGCTTCAGTTGCTCGAAGATGTGCTGCGAACGTCGTCCCAGCAAATAGCATCTTATGCATTATTTGCTGTCTGTGGGACTGTCTGGGGAAAGCGGAGAGGTGGTCAGTTTGTGACGTAGTGCCTGGTTATGGAAGAAAGCTGTACAGAACTGGCATGCCTGTCCTTCACAACTCTCTGGTCCCGGTTGTAGGGATGGTGCAACACAGTGGCTGCAAAAACTATATCAGATATGACTCAGAACAAAAGCCAGTGTTGATAGTGCTGTAGCTTTCCTTTATTTTATCCATAGATATGGGAGAAAATCCTTAAATTAAACGGATTCTTCCTGGTTGTATTTTTCTCATTCGGAAACCTATTATTTATTTGGAACACATAAATATTGGTACAAGGGGCACCAAATATATATGCGCCACACAAAACAATGAGAATTTGAAGAGGAGAAAAAAAAGAAGGTAAGGAGAGTAAAAAAAGAACAATAACGAACAGATTAGTGTAAGGTGGTGTAATAATAATAATAATTATTATTATTATTATTATGGGGGAAACGGAAAGGTACAACCAGAAGAATTCTTTTAGTTAAAGAAGAAGCAACCACATTTTACGAAGAAAGTAAAAGAAGGTTACAGCAGGATCGCCACTGGCTTCTATTCTGAGCCATATCTGATAACGTCTCTAACCACTGTGTTGCACCATCTCTCGGACCCCAACCAGGGAGTCGTGAAGGACCAACACGAGCCAGCCCTTTGCAGCTTTCGTTCATTTATTTATCTATTTATTTGAACACATAGATATTGGTACAGGGGGCACCAAATATATATGCGCCACACAAAACAATGATAATTTGAAGAGAAGGAGAAAAGAGAAAAAAAAGTAATGAACGTGGGGAATTATAGATAAATAAAAAAAAAGAGAGAGAACAATGATGGGGAAAACGGAAAGGTACAATCAGAAGAGATCTTTCAGTTAAGGAAGATACAAACACTTTTTATGGAGAAAGTAAAAGAAGGTTACAGCAGGATCGCCACTGGCTTCTATTCTGAGTCATATCTGATAACGTCTCTAGCCACTGCGTTACACCGTCTTTCGGACCCCAACCAGGGAGTCGTGAAGGACCAACACGAGCCAGCCCTTTGCAGCTTTCTTTCATACCACGACACCACGTCATACACTGATCGCCTTTCCGCTCTTTCCAACCAGTCCCAGAGTCGGCAAATAATGCACGACGAGGAATTCTCTGGGACGACATTCGTAGAACATGTCCAGGCCACCGAAGTCGATGTTTCAAGATGGTGACACGAATTGCATTATCGTCTCTGTTCCCGAACACACGATGCCGAACCTCTGTATTACTAACATGGTGTTGCCATTGGATGTCAGCAATCCTTCGGAGACAGCGATGATCGAACACAGAGAGTCGTCTAACATCCTCAGCTCGGAGAGGCCAGGTTGCGCAAGCATACAGCAGAACTGCTATCACTGACGCGTTGTAGATCCGACCTTATACAGCCAGACTGACATCACGAAGGCGCCAAAGATGGCCCAGATTGGCATAAGCCGCTCTGGCTTTCACTATACGTGCATTGATCTCATCACTCACGCCACCACCAGCACTTATGCAGCTACCCAGATACACGAACTTCTCGACTACTTCTATCTGCTCACCATCCAGAGTGAGTACAGGATTAAAATCCTGCCAGTCTTGTAGAAGTACTTTGCACTTCGAAGGTGCAAAGCATATACCATACCTACGGACATTGATTGCCAACTGATTAAGCGTGGATCGCATGGCTTGGGCATTATCTCACAGTAAGACAATATCATCCGCGTACTCAAGGTCAAGAAGTCTTTCTCCAGGCAACAGATCCACACCACCATTACTTACATCCATCAGAGCTGTTTCCAGAATGTCATCGATGGCAAAGTTGAAGAGGAATGGTGAGACTGGACAACGCTGTCTAACCCCACTGCTCGTATGGAATAATGGAGAAAGGTGGTTGTATGCCCTCACTCTGCCTGAGGTGTTTGTATATAGGGCCTTTAGGATGTTAATAAACTTCTCAGGCACACCCTTCTTCAATAGACAATCCCAGAGAGCAGTCCTATCCAACGAATCGAAGGCAGCTCTGATGTCAAGAAACAATACGATTGTTGGCCTTTGATAAGTATGAGGGTGTTCTAACATTTGGCGGAGGGTGAAGATATGATTAACACATCCTCGACCGGAACGAAACCCAGCCTGCTCGTCGCGAGTCAATCGTTCTCGGGTTTTGAACAACCTATGAAGTATGACAGAAGCTAACAGCTTGGACGCAATCGTAAGTAGACTTATCCCCTGATAGTTGTTACTGGAACGACGTGAACCCTTTTTAAAGGTAGGGACAACTATCGACTCATTCCATGACGTTGGTACACTCTCTAGCTCCCAGACCTTTGTAAACAACGTCGTCAGTCCCTTAGTCAGAAAGTCACCACCATCTTTAAAAAGAGCCGGAGGTAAGTCGTCTGGGCCCGGTGATTTGTAACGTTTCAAGAGTTGGAGTTCCTTGCGGACTTCTGCCTCATTTGGTGGATCAGTCGTCACCGGCCATGGAGGCCAGGACAGTCTGACCGATGTTGCCGGAGCAGCAGGCCAGTTGAACTGCCCTTCGAAAATTCTGCCCATCGTCCAAGACGTCGATGGATGTTAGTGATTGGCGTTCCGTCATCCTCGCAGATTGTTTCGCTCACACCAGACTTCTTGCTGCCAATGGCTGGAATGAGTTGAAAGAGCCTCCGGTAGTTACCAGATGCAGCTGCTGCTTCCAGCTTATTAGCACGCTCCGACCACCAGGCTTCTCGGTCCTTACGCAATCTTTGTCCAATTTCATTACATAGCAACCTTCGTTTGTGGTCAAACTCACGGTCATTCGGAGTAGACCGACGGGCTTCAATCAGTTGTAAGGAGCCTGAAAAAGCCCAGTGCTTATAAGCGAGACGTTTCGCGAAGCCGCAGGCGGCTTTACTCGCCATTTTCATGGCGTCATGCAGTTGCAAACAATGCTCATCAATACTTTTCGGTGGGATGGTAGCTAGCCTAGAAACTAGCTCGGTTCGATACTTACTAGCAACAGAAGTTGAAACCAACTTGCTAACGTCAATCTTTTGGTGACGGTCACGTCGCTCGCCACTGAAAAGTAAGTTAAGATTGGCACAGACCAGGGCATGATCAGATTCCAGATAGGTACTCCGAAAGGGGCGACAGTCTTGTACACAACCACTCCAGCGGTAGCTGATCGCGATGTGATCAATCTGAGTCCAGGCTTGAGATGCAGCGAGAGGACGCCAGGTGGCACATCGGCGATGACTGTGCCGAAAGTTAGTGCTAGCCAGAAACAGGTTGTGATCTGTGCATATTTGCAGTAGACGTTCCCCGTTATCTGTCCTGCGACCAACAAGCCATCATCGGTCACCTAAACGACTCTCTTCTGTGCTTAGTCGCCCGACCTGAGCATTCAAGTCTCCGACTAGTACTACAATATCTGTCTAACGCACTTTCTGGAGAACAGTTAACTGGTGGTAGAATTCATCCTTGATTGCATCCGGACTGCAATCTGTCGGGGCATAGGTGGAGAAGACGAAAAGACATCGTTTCTCACGCCGATTTCTTCTCACTTTGATGGTACTTTCTAATCTAACAGAACATAACCGACTGTTAATATGGGTTCTATAGATTACTGTCGCCTCAGCTCTAGCGTTTAGTGCGACACCAACGCCAGCAAGTTCAGACGAAGATGCCACAGGGTCTCCGGATAAACGCACGTAAAACAAGCTTTTTGAAGCGACAGATGGAGAGCGAATTTGCAGTACTTCGGAGTCTTGAATACGGGTTTCCGACATACTACAAACGTCGATATTAAGACTTTCTAAAGACATAGCCAGCCCTATCTGTTGTCCGACCTGCATAAGTGTGCAAACATTGAAGGCTCCCAGTTTGGATGGTGCACGTGTTTTCAGAAAAACTGCTTCAGTATTCATATTTGGTGGTAGCATTCAATTTTCAACCAGTCAGTGACTCGAGAACGTTTAGATAGAACCGAGCTTCCACCATAGGTTAGCTGCTGTATAAGTCGAAAAATAAGGATAGATAGAGTAGGAATAAAAGGGAGTGAATAAATGACGTAGTAAATAATAATATTAATAATAATAATGCGAGTTATTTGATTGTTAATCGGAGCGAAAAGAATGTTTTCCATTAGTAGACTGTCCATCAAGTTTTTTTATGTGGGCTGAGATACTGCCCGGGTGCCCAAACCGAAGCAGGTGGTTTTCTTAGGGGGCCTCACCCCGAGCCTTTGACCTAGAGGTCTAGTCCACAAGGCAGTGGAGCATCGTGAGGAGATGCAGTTCCATGGAAGCCGGTGATCAAGAAATTGGTTCATACGCCATTTGTTCCCGCAGGATACTGGAGCCCATGTGCACCATTGGTTTGGGATCCGGTTAAAGCTCCGGACATTCGATTTTCGTCCTCTCATTTTCGTAGACAACACCCGTGGTGCGAGAAGGCAGTAAGTAGGACTTCCCTGGCAGATGCTGTATACGCGTGGCCGTGTGAGAGCATTTCGAGAGGGAGGGCGAACCCACCCCATTCTCGGCCATACCAGGGCATTTGGGGTATTATATTTTATATTATATTATATTCATATATTATATTTTTATTTTCAACTTATCTTTGTTCACTTGTTTTTTTACACTTTACTCATCTTTAATCTCTTCTCAGTTTCCATTTCTTATTGTGTGGCGAATTCTTATTTGGGTTCCTGTTTGTACCATTATTTGTGCCTTAGCAAATAATGATGATTCATATTAAATAGATAGGTAATGTCCACACTGTACATTGTTCGCCTTGCTATCTCGTACTACCATACAATGATGTATTTGGGATGTAAATACATCTAAAAATATGAAACAATCTCACCGGCTGAAAATCCTGACTTATTATTCTCTTTAGATAAAAATAAAAAAATTCCGTTATAGAACTTAAAAAAAAACTTAGAATAGAAGCAATTTAATTTGATATGAGGATTGAAGTATGGAAGTTTGTACCAAGTGTTGTCTCGTGTTTTAATACATCATCGCTATTAACAGTGGATTTTATTGTGAATAAGTTTCTTTGATATAAACTTTCACATAATTCATTTCCGGACTAAAATGTAGGTTATTTGTTTCAGGGTTCTTCAGTGTTACGAATTTTCACTAACCTTTAACTACCTTGTTGCTGTTATAATTTCATACTTACCCACTTACTATCGATTTTTACCAATTTTCGCTGTTTAAAATTAGTATCTAAATCTTTCTATTCTTAGGAGTATCCCTGAGTCACAAGCAAAGCACCTTATTACGCTATACTTTAACCAGCTTATCAATGGTTGTCGTAATGTAAATTGTCAAAATAAAAACTGTGCATCTTCAGCCAATTTTGCGCATCCGGGTATTACACCAAATCAAGCGGCTGCCCTAGCAATCGAATTAACAGTCAACCGTGCTGATCTTTGTTTATCTACTAATGCAATCTTATCATCTTCTGGAATGAGCAATCCATCAACTTCACGTTCTGTGGAACCTGAAGTTAATAGTGATGATAACGGTGGTGAAACGTCGAACGAAATCAACGAAGTAATATATTCTTCGCGTAATTTCTCTTTCTTTAGGCGTCTAGTTACCTTCCTCAAGAGCCTTCAAATCTTCAAACGACTTCTATCCCTTCATCACAACAGCTTGTTGCTAATTCAGATGCCATAACATCAGGTCCTGATGAAGATTCATTTCATTCTCTGATGACACCCGCTGAAGTTACTCGGTTAATTATGTTTCTGTTTGATGCTTCGGAAAATGACGAAATCAATTCTTCCCAGCTAAACGAGCCAGCTTCTGGAATTATTACAGAGGACTACTCGGCGGACCATGATAACTCTTTGACTTCCGCTTTCCGTAGTCGCAATCCTCTGTTTGGTATGTTTTTGGAACTTACCAGCTTTTGGTCATGTATTTGTTGTTCTCTTATATCGCATTCTTGAGATTCGTAAAATCTGGTAATTAAGCGTCTTTTTTGGGAGGTCATCGTTTTAATTCACGATGTCTTGTATTTGTGTTACAGGAACATCTAGGCCATCTAGTTCGAGCTCTGATACTTTGAAAGCCCTCAAAGGACCAACAAGCCAAAATAACCACACAACTCCATCATTGAATACATCTATCGAACGTGAATCCCGTAAAACCGGTTTGTCATTAACCGAGTTACAGAAAGCTATTGAAATGGCGAGGAAAAATGGAGAGTGGTCCTGTCTTATAAGTTTATTAAATTCAGTTTTCAGTTCGTATGATGCATTATCAAGTAGCTTCTTACATGAATTATGTGTGGTTAGATCGGGAAAGCAATCCAAAAAGGATAAAAAGACCAAAGACGTCTCAGACTCATCACTGTGTAGCACCAGTGCCAAAACGCTAAAAGATTACAATGAAGTTATTCCACCAACTGTAAATAATTCTGATGGCTCGGTTGACAACGTAACAGAATCTTCTTGGGTCGATGGTATGACAAGTATCTCAACAGATTGTCCTGTTTATCAAAATGGTAAGTAATGTGTTTTTTTTACCAAATTCCCATTCACCTACATAAAGTAACTTTCAAATAGGTAGTATACTTGTAATGTTATCATATCTTGCAAATTATAACTGTAAAAAATTTATTTTGTTTATATTTAATGCAAACACCAGTGAGTGGACTCAAGTATATAAATGCAACTTGAATGATTATTAGATCTTGAAAGTTTTATGGTCCAAGTACATATGTTATGAAAGAGGATTTTCGGATTTATGCTAAAAAAATTAGACTGTCGGCGTGAGTCTATGATAATTAGAAGTATTCGATTTATTGTACTAACTAGGAATTACCCGAACAGTGCAAATAAAGCCAAATAAAATTAGGTGAGCATAAACGAACGTATTGTATTTAGAAATCGAAATCAACCAGTAAACAAGTACCAAACAATCATTAGTTCATACACACATCACGGAGTCCCACAAAAAAGGATATCAAAAATAACACAACTGGTTAGCGGTCTTTTCGTAGTACGTTTGTTTACAAAATGTTGAACACAAAATAAACAACCGAAAGTTGATTGTAACATAGCCGACTGGAAGTTATGGGTTTTGTAGGTAGATCACTGACGATCCGATGAAATAAAAATTTAACTCAGGTTTTATTGTTTCCTTTTGTATCGGAACTGTCGTCCAGTAATTCAAGGGCTCGTCCTTCGACTATTGAGTTATATGTCTCAAACATACTTTTAATAAGGTTTGGGGAACTTCATTTCGACTTTTATAGTCGTTGAGTTCGTTCAGCTCAAAGTCTAGTGTACAAACTTGGTTACATGTTTGTTGAGTGCCATCCATTAACAATAAGAAATTTTGCTCTGCAAGCCATTAATCATACTTAGTTTATAAAACTGAGACGAAACTGGTTTTTATGTCTTTAATCTTCCTTAGGTTTATTAATTTCCTAACTATCAATATGCTGTTTTAGAATTATTTCTGAATTACAAAACATTTCTGAACGATGGTTTACTGCTAAAGATATTAACAGCTTCTTTAGCAACAGCTTCCAAATGTTAAACTTGTTCGGGCTCTAATTTGTTAGACGTGTTTGTGTGTGACCATAAATTAAGTGCTTGTGACATTTATTTAACTTAGATGACTAGGGCAATCAGTAGGAATCTTTCTGAAGTTCTCCAGTCAGTTTTGGTAATAACTTATTTACCACGGCTCATCTTAATTCCGAAGAAATATTTTCATTTACATTTCAGATTTTTTATAGTTGGAAAAAGGAAGATAAATAAATTTTCCGTTTATTCTTATTGGTAGAGATTTCTATTTTGCTAATACTTCTTGCGCGGGAATCCTTATAATTCTTGTTCCGGCATTATGAAACCTAATGGTCACTATGTGCAGCTAGGACAGAGATGTGTGCGTGTTATTTATCAGGAGCTGATCACCATCATTTAACGTATATTCTACGAACTTGGTACGGCAATTGAGTCTGCAAAAAACTCGAGAACGTTTAAGAATAGAGTGTACTACTAGTTCGATATAAAATCAGTCAGTCAGTCAGTAACAACGTGGAAATTCGTACGTACGTACGTACGTACATCAGTTCGAGTTGCCATACCACATTAGCACAGAGATGCAGTTATCGATTCAAATCACGTAATGGTAGAGGTAGTGAAAGTATAAGTAGTAATAGGGAACATTAGGGTTTGATGATGTTATTTAAGGAGTATAATCCAGTGGAATAAATTTGGAAAGAAAATAAAGAACATGAAGAATTCAGAAGATTAGAGTTCGGGAGAACACAAAGAGTGGATGCACCTGCGCCATTGCAAACGATTTTGAGTCATATAATTCAAGATCTCCAACCATCGGTTACTATCGTCTCGCGCACCTCAACCAGGTAGTCTACACCTACCAACATTGCTCAGTCCACTTGTCAGTGACTTCTTGAATTTGTGCCATGTTTTGGTCTGGCCGCCCCTAGCTTTCTTCCAACCTACTCCGACACCATAAAACATCGCACGTCGGGGCTTTTCAAATCCATGCCGAGATCTTGTCGCTAACCACCTCACTAGGGAGGAACAGACTTCCAGGATAAGTGACGTTGCCAACACATTCAACTGCTTCACTTCCCATCATTAGTTCAGGTGTTGAAGCAGACTAATTCTGAGACGACATTATGGATTTAGAGGCAGAGAAACGCATTCCAAACATGTTTGCAATCACAAGACTCAGCTTTTAATCAGTGTCTTCTTCAGAAAAAAAGGAATTTTTATCTGTATATAGTTAGTCGATAGGCGAACGTCCTAAAAAGTTAGTGAATTGTTTCTAAAACGAGAGTCATGACGAAATTAAGCAAAAAGGGGTCAGTGGGCGAACCTGACGAATACTATTTGACGTTTACAGTCCCTTCTATGCTCTGATTAGACATTAGCAAACAATAATAAATTAGTTATACTGCAAAACTAATACTCGATAATGTCAGTAAAAAAACATCTACTAAAACAAACCTGTAGGCCATCATTGAGTGTTTCATTTACAAAATCTTTAGCTGGAATAAATGGTGTACGACAATCATTAGGAGAAATATTCAGCGCTTTAGCAAATGGATCTTCAGGTAAACTAACACGTGAACGCCTTTCATAAGTCTAGAAACAAAACATTAAGTATTATCGATATGTTATTAAGCAAACAAAACATCACAATATGAGAAAGCAGGACGTAAACAGGATATTATGATGAATAAACATATATGATTAGTCAATGATTAATAAAAAGTTACTTCAGAATTGTATAGTTGGAAGTCGTCGACAGGAAAACCTGAACCCAAATTTCATGCAAGTTAGCACTCGTCAGCAAAGGGGTTCCTGCAGTAATGAGAGAACTGGTGTTTTGTGTAGAATTTGAATTCGCACCACTTAGCTTCACAACCTGAGATATGCTACCACTGAGCTATTTGTGTCACGAATGACCTGTATTACTGAGATATTGACAACTGATATATTATTGATTGCTGACTAATGTCATGTTTGTCTAGTCTTTTAACAGGTCAACGGTGTGAGATTGTTGATGAGAGATAGCACAAAGCCCAGGTTCAGGGATTCATGTTGACTACCTCCAACAGCCCAACACATCGAACAGTGAACATGACGTGGAGACTATTAAACCAGTGACCAAACTGCAACTTGACAAGTAGAATTCGATCAGCACCTAAAGGACTAAACAAGTATGATATAGTGATCAACCAATAATACATATTAGTTTATTCGAAAAAAGTGACAGACATACCAAGTAAGAAAAGTACAATTAGAGAAAAATACTTTTTCTCTATGACTTGAGCATCGATCCATGATCTGAGAAAATACAAGTCACTTCGGATAAAATTGACATTGAGAAAACAAGTTTGCAGAAACAAATTCAAAAATCAAGTCAGTCAGTCAGTAACAACGTGGAAATTCGTACGTACGTACGTACGTACATCAGTTCGAGTGCCATACCACATTAGCACAGAGATGCAGTTATCGATTCAAATCACGTAATGGTAGAGGTAGTGAAAGTATAAGTAGTAATAGGGAACATTAGGGTTTGATGATGTTATTTAAGGAGTATAATCCAGTGGAATAAATTTGGAAAGAAAATAAAGAACATGAAGAATTCAGAAGATTAGAGTTCGGGAGAACACAAAGAGTGGATGCACCTGCGCCATTGCAAACGATTTTGAGTCATATAATTCAAGATCTCCAACCATCGGTTACTATCGTCTCGCGCACCTCAACCAGGTAGTCTACACCTACCAACATTGCTCAGTCCACTTGTCAGTGACTTCTTGAATTTGTGCCATGTTTTGGTCTGGCCGCCCCTAGCTTTCTTCCAACCTACTCCGACACCATAAAACATCGCACGTCGGAGCAGTCGGTGGTCGGTTATACGTAACACATGTCCCAGCCATCTCAACTGATTAAGTTTCACTACTTCATCAATTGATTTGCCATCCTTACCTAGTACTCGTTTCCTAACAACTGCATTACTTACTCGGTGGTCCCAGGATATACGAGCAATGTTTCGAAGACATCTATGGTCGAATACTAGTAACCTACGAATATCCTCTACTCTTATCGGTTATGCTTCACTACCATTAAGTAGAACGGAACGAACTGCTGTGCAGTGAACACGTCCTTTGGTTGATAGACGGATATCTCGCTTACGCCGTAAATGACGCAAGTTGGCCAAAGGTAGTCGAGCCTTCTGTATCCGTGCTGAGATTTCGTCACACACCAGACCACAAGGGCTGATGAGACTTCCAAGATAAGTGAAGCGGTTGACACGCTCAACTACCTCACTCCCTATCACTAGTTCGGGTGTCGATGCAATCCAATCCTGAAGCAACATTTTGCAATTCGAGGAGGAGAATTACATCCCGAACATGCTTGCATTGTTGCTTAGAGTGGTCAGCAGACTCTGCATTTTGTCAGCGTCTTCACTAAATAGAACTATTTCATTGGCATATTCTAAGTCAACAAGTGAATCTCCCGGTAGAAGTTCAACCCCTGGAAATTTAGATGTGGAAAGTGTCATCTCTAAACGCACGTAAACGACAAAGGTAAACAAGAATGGAGAGAGTGGACATCTCTGACGAACACAACTTGAGGTAATCAATTCTGATGACAGTTCGCCATAAGCTCTCACTCGACCAGTTGTGTTCGAGTAGAGAGCCTTTATAAGGTTAATGTACTTCTTTGGCACTCCTTTCAGTGACAAACACTGCCATAGAACCTCACGATCAACAGAGTCAAATTCCGCCTTAAGGTCGAAGAATACTACGATTGTGGGGCGTCTAAATGTGTGTCTATGTTCTAGGACCTGACGTAGTGTGAGTATCTGGTCTACACAACCATGTCCAGGTCGAAAGCCAGCCTGGTTTTCTCTAGTCTGCTCTTCACGAGCTTTAGTTAGGCGTCGAAGTAATATCGAAGCTAATATTTTAGACACTATATTAGTCAAACTGATTCCTTTGTGATTGTCACAAGAAGACTTTTGTCCTTTCTTATAGATTGGCACAATCAGTGATTGAGACCAGTCAGATGGGATTACGTCCAGTTCCCAGATTCTACCTAAGACCTCAGTCAATCACGCTGCTAATACTGGACCTCCATCTCAGGGGTAAACCTTTCAGGTCCTGCTGCTCTCCCTCGCTTCAGATTTCCTGTAGCTTTTCCAACCTCATAAAGAGCCAGAGGACCTACATTAATTTGCCATTCAGGTAGACTGGAGATCATGGGAAACCGTAGTGTGGCTGAAGGCCAGTTGAACTGATCCTTAGTTTTCTGCCCATAGATCCAATCTCCTGGATTGGGAATGTATAATATGTCCATCTTTTTCTGAGATAGTTTCGCTAACAGTTGGGTTCCTAATACCGGTTTCTTAACAAATCCGAACATATTTCTGCTGTTACCTATTGCCACTGCCTTTTCCATCTCTCTTGCTTTCACTACCCACCACTGTTCACGATCATTGCGTAGGTTTCTAGTCAGCTTACGCTTAAGCTGACTCCGCTCTTTGTTATGTTCGGAGCCAGGTGGAATGAGTTTTCAAGCATCTATCAGTGCGGTAGACGCTGTTGATATCCAGTGTTTCTCCTAACCTTATGGTTTACCGTACTTGCAGACATCACTACTGTTTCTTCAGCTTTTCGGATATCATTCCACGCTGCTTCGGGGTTGGCATCGCATGCATGACTGCCTAACTGTTTTTCTAGTTGTTCCTGAAATGTACTCTTAGCTTGAACCTCATTAAGTAGGACCCTAAGGGGTTTCCTTGTACCATCTTTCCTACGTCCAGTAAGACGTAGACAAATACGCGCTCGTACTAGAGCATGATCTGAGTCTAAGCATGTGCTCTAGAATAAGCGACAGTCTTCTATCGAGCCCCTCCATCGGTGGCTGATAGCGATGTGATCTATTTGGGTCCAGCGTTGAGACGAATCAGGGGGTCGCCATGTCAAGAGATGTTTTTCCTTATGCTTAAAGTTAGTGTTTGCAAGAAACAGGCGGTTTTCTGAGCAAAGCTGCAACAGACGGTCGCCATTATCTGTTCTTTGAGCCGCGACACCATAAGATCCACCCAGAGGTCTTTCCCTTTCGTTTAGTTTACCTAGTTGAGCATTAAAGCCACCGTCCACTATTACTACATCAGAGCGCCTAGATTTTCGGAGAAGGTCGGAAAGCTTTCTGTAAAACTCATCTTTTACATTATCCGAGCTGCAGTTAGTAGGAGAGTAAACAGAGACGACGAATACAGGCTGCTATCACTTTGCTCTGATTTTATAAAATACATGGGAATTTTTTCATGATGAATTGGTTGACTTTCTTTTGGGTTATTCAGTCACCGGATTATAATCAATCTTCACAAAAGTCAAATTATTTTTCCTCCGCCATTCTGCAAAATGTGCACTTATTTTTTCGGGTTATAAGTGACTATATTGATTTTAATATATTGTCAATAAAAACTCGGAATTATAGACTTTTTCCTGATGTCTACATGGCTTTTGCATTTTTCCTTTGGTTGATCTCAATTGGTGCAGTTGTTGTGACCTCTAAACGGTACATCTGGAGTTTAGCTTGACTGTAGTTCTGTCACATTTTACATAATGTAGCTTACCAAGTGAATGAATGGTGTTGGTAACTCGATAGTTATTTTGCACTGTTAATTAACTTTGAAATTCATTCTTAGTCGAGAATGACTCTCATTATGCTACGGACCTTTATTAGGCCTAAATATTTTTTCAATGTTCCATATCTTTCAACTATGTAAGTAAAAAGTACTTGAAATATCAGTGATTTAAATAATTTATGTACTGAACATTTAGGTAGGTATACTTCTAAGATGTTAAGTTACTTACGGGAACGTACTAGAACTTCTGTAAACTATTTGTAGCGTTTACTTTCATACACCCGATGTTTCAGAAGTGCAGTTTTTAGTTGAAGGGAGGTAGGATATGTAAAGTAGTGTCATGTATTCATTTGAAATTAAACCATATCAAGATATGTTAGAGGATTTAAAAATAACTTAAATCATCCACCAGATACTTGGGTTTAAGCCACACACTAAGGGTAAGGGCTAAGGATGCTACCCGGTTAGCCAAACCGAAGTATGTGTATACTTAATCTTGTTACAGGTAAATGTTTGATAAAATCGCGTGCTGAAAACACTTCTTGCTTTTCTCCCTTACAATCGAATTCTCAGCTAGTGAAATATTTTGGGCTTATAAAAGAATTTACGTGAAGTGTATTTGTAAGTTTATTGTTGGAAACTAATAATAGTAGGTTACCCGTCCGAAATGACTAGATGATCCTCGGTATACAATACTATCGAATCGACTATGGCCTAGTAGACAATTGTGTTAGGGGCTTTTTTATAACACTAGTTGCAAGGGCTCTTGTAGATCAAACCAAATGGTTTTACTTCATTGTTTTAGCTATCCACCTTGTCACCAGCTGTTCATGAAATGTTTGTAACCATATTCAGCATACTGAAACCTAAATGAATCAATCAAATATGATGGTGGTTTTATGATATTAACAGGCTTAACATTTTTATAGATACGGTTACTATCTGATTCTGGATTGTTACAATTACGTGGAAGTAACCGCTTATCCTTTAAGTCAGCTGTGTATTGATGTTTTCCTTCTCATAGGTCGTTAGCATACAATCTGTTTATCATTTTATACCATACATATGTACAATATTTCTTGATGAGCAAATAACCTAGTCCTCACTCATAAAACCTTAAATTTCATTCCATCAAATTCAGGGTTTATTAGTTGATTTGCATCCATCAGTTTAAGTTGTTTGACCTAAAAAATCAGTAGGGATTTTCAAAACTTAAAATACGGAGCTGAAGAAATAACTGTTAGGTCCCGATAAGCATAATGAATAGTAACTTTGGGATCTATTTGTGGATCAATACTATACCGTATATTTTTATTGTGTAATTGTTAGTTAACTAAACTATTCATATTCATGTCTCTCTTATCATAAGCTTTATTTTAACCTATGAACTGTTATTATACGATTTTCCATTCTTGAATTATTCTCTGTTTATTAGTCACTGCCTCCCTCATTCACAGCCATATTTGGCCAAATTTTGTACAAATGTTATTTTCTATTTTATGGTACGTTGTGGTCTGTTTGATTGGTATATAAACCCCGTATGTCTGAAATAAATGATTCATATTGCAGAGGTTGAGATTGGTGTTCTGGACTCAACTGGCTGGGCTAGGCGGAAAGCAAGACCAATCAGGACACTAGGCTGTTCGTACGAGTTTTACGCGTCACTGGTTCGATCGATAAGTCACTGCTCTCTAATCGGCGGTCACAAGTTATAACAATAACTAATTAAATATTTATTGTGTTATAGATTATTTGTGTTGGGGTATTCAGAAAATATCCCAGAAATTATCTAGTGCTATTCCTGAATGGGAAGTAGTGTCATTTCCCCATTGGTCAACATTCTCCCAACGTGTCATCTCCTTATTGGTCAATATTTATTTGTGTCATTTCCTGAAGGTTAAATCTTGTACAAATGTTACTTTCTATTTTATGGTACGATGTAGTCTGTTTGATTGCTATATAAACAGAGTATGTTTGAAATATAATGATTCATATCTCCGAGGCTGAGACTTGTGTTCTGGACTCAATTGGCTGGGCTAGACAGGGAAGCAGGACCAATCAGGATTCTAGGCTGCTCGCTCGTATTTTGTGCGTCACTGTTTCGATCGATAATAGGCTGCTCTCCAATAGGCGGATCACACGTTATAACAATTTGGTGCTGAATGTTTGAAAAACCTCAAACTCCTACATCTGGGAATGTGTGTTTGACATTGGAGGTGCATATTGTTCTCGTGAATAAAAATGAATTAAAACCTAGATCAATTATATTTTGTGAATTTTTATGCTTTATTTACTTAATTATTTTGTAATATTCAAAATAATATTTATGAAGATTGTGAACATATTTATTAATCAAAGAATTTCCACTAAATTTTACAACAACATATTTGTAAATGTTTATTTTCAGATGTAGAAATGGATGATCAACAAGTAAACACTTTGAACTCTATTGAAATTATTGAGAAATCAGAAAACAATATTTATTGGCCATCTGTTAATCTTAATGATCTACGTAAAGCTTGGTCTATGATTGTATCTATACCTGAACGTCAAAATATTGTCGATACACTAATGAGAGCTGTTCGTCGTTTGGTTGTGATAAGTTTACATCAACTTTTAGTTATTCAACCACCTGACGGATTAGATGATAATCAACCAACTACTGAAATAGCTATTATTCAACAACGTTTAGTGAATCTTTTTATTATTCTTTATGAATGTCCATTTGCAACAGATCCTTTACATTTTGAGGTTGGTAAATTATTCTATAAAGTTGTTATAAAACAGTTCCTTTTTTTTTACTTCGTCCATCATAAAGTATAGTTGTTTTTGGACACCATTCTATTTCTAATGTCTCTTTATTGTCGTAAAATCAGAAATTTCGCTATCGTAATGATTACTATTGAATTACTTATGGAATCATGATTGTGCTAACTTCATGTTACCAGTTATTCAGCCGAAAAAGTCAAATATATATATATATATATATATATATATATATATATATATATATATATATATATATTCCCAATCTTCTGTAGGTATTCATTCCACTCCCGATTGGTACTACATACTATTCATATCTATCAACATAAGTAGCATACATCACATATATACTGGAATGATTAAGAATTACAATTATATTATGATCAATATGTTGGTACCATCTGGTTTTCATTAAGTTTTAAATTTTAATCCAATAACCTGAATGATAATATTGTAACGGTTTTAAGGAGTAAAGAACTTTTTGATAATAACTAGTGTATTTGATCAAATCCAAGAGACTTATTCACGTGTTATAAGATCAAGTGATTATATTTTCGAGATTATGGCTGGATGATTTCGCAGATTAAAAACTTTATTTTTTGTTTAGTGATAATTTTATTGGTTTTATTCTTGTTTTTTTTTTTCTCATGCAATAATTTATGTTTACTACAACATAAAATTCCTAATATCAAGCTTACTCTTTTTCTGATTGATTTATAGGAATATGGTTTTGTGTTGTGTATTATTTATCGTCATTATAAACATTTTTTAATGATACTTATTTAATCTCTAATTATATAGTTTAAACCAGATTACTAACATCATATTAATTTGAGTTAACCTAAGGTCATTTTTAAAGTTTATCATGTTTTCAGATTTGTTATGTAACAGTCTATTATTGATTTGTCGTTCCTGTAAGTCATGGTTTTATTCCCTTGAACAACCGAAATGGGAGGTACTTTTCGGTGGGTCTGTTATTGTTAATAGTAATGCAACTCAACGACTGTTTATAGGTTCGTATGTGCAGTAGACATGGTGGAGTTATGTATAATGTTTCATGACAAATATTTTCATTTAGCTGTTTGAACCTTGTGACCGACCGAATTGTTAAATATTCAGTGTCCCATTGAGTAACCCCAGCTATGGGAACTGTCTAAATACAAAGATTACTGTTTCAACTAAGTTATCATAATATTCATTGTGAATTTTCCACTTTACCCTTCATAATTTGAATAAGAATTCGAAAATGGTCTTTTTAGACAATCACACACCTTCAATAACTGTCTGTACTCATTAGTTTCAAACATTTTTATTAAATACGGGTTTATAGTTTTCAATTTCTTTATCCATCGTATTTATTTAATCTCTATACCATTTTTACTCTACTGCACTTTCATTAATACACTGTTATTTTCGTTATCATTCAAGAGTTGACAATAAAAGTTTCATAATTGAATCATTCATCTGGAAAACACATAACAGCACTAAAAGTATAATTACTGTCGTGTTTAGTAGGAATGAACAAACATCACATACAGATAACAACAAAAGATCATTTATCATTAGTTGCATGTAGTTAGACATCGTCTTCAAGCTTTAGAATGCTACATCACAGTTTTTAATACATCATATTCTGTTAATCAGGAATTTCAATAACCGTTCAGTTTTGGTTTTCGAAGCGAATCAGTCGAATAACCTAATTTATTATTATTGTTACTACTGAGATTTCCTGCTTTTTAGTTTATTCAATTCCATTAAAAACCTGTGGAAATTTTAGGTTTTTACACTTCTATTCAAAAGTATAAATACAAACTAACGAGCCAGCGTTAAAGGTGTAAAGCATTTTTGTGATAAAAAGATCATTATTATTTTTGTTATAAAGTGATCTATTTTTCTCTCATGCACTTTCTGAATAATGTGAACTAAACAAAACTGATCGAAGCATGCTATTAAACAGTATTGCTCATTATGAGTAAAAGAAGATTTTTGAATGTTGTTCAGTTTATAGCTGATATTATAAACTGATTTGAACTGTACAAACACTGAAAAAAAACGAGAGAGCACTGGACAACTATTCATGATAGCACAAGATACCTCAACGAGGCCTACCTACAACCTATTCTGGCGCCTCGTAGTGAACGCCTTCTCAAGTTGTTAAGAATCAACAATGAAGCAGTTTGCCATAAAATATTAGTCATATATTAATGTTAAGTGTTCTACTTGATTAGGACTAATACGGTACACGACTTGAGCACTTGAACTCGTGGAACCCAATCGAAAAGACAGAAAAGGGCAGAAGCGTTTATGAAAGTGTTACGAATGTACTGAAAAATAGATCTATTTACACTTTTTGGCATTGGTTAGAGTATCATTATAAGACAGCCAATCTACAAGTAGGAAGTTTATACTGATGTCCAATCATAGCATGCCACATTGATATTGAAGGAAGTTCTATTGGATTATGATTAGATGGAATCCTTTCTGCTCTGTTAAAGCCTCTGGAGGCTTCATCTTGGCTTCTGAGAGCCGACCCAATAATTAATGAAGTTTAACAGTGAAAAACTTTATTTTCTGATAAAATGTTTTAAGGTAAATATTTTAGTCAATCATCATAAGATAGGACAATCATAATTGTCGTTTCATCTTGCTCATTATTGTTCACCTTCATTAATTACGTTTTATATGCTACATATTTGATTTCATTTCTGTATCGTTTAACTGATGAATATTATTTGGTGTATTGTGGAATAAACTCCATCATAGCTGCACAAAATTCATGGGTTTATTACCTTCTGATTTCGGAGTCTACTAACATAAATTATGAAAGAGCAAGATGTCTGAGGGTTCTAAGATAGTAGTATGTACTCATAAAGTTTTTTTTTACCTTTCAATAAAAATGATGAATAGTGTTCTGAAAAATGTCAACAAAGTCTAATAGATGAAATAAAGTTAAGAACCATTATGAAGTATATAAGCGTGGAAAATATATAGATTTCAATTTCATCTAAAGTAAAAGGTTTGTTTATAAGAGGTAAATGCGAAAAGTGATATTTCTGGTTGGAAAGAAATTTTTCTGTTAACATTCCAGACTTTTAGTAAGTAACCAATTAAATTGCTTTTCTTTTCTTGAGATCAAAAGAAAATAAGGTTACTTGAATTTTCTGTTGAATGATGTTTATTCTATCATAAAGTCTTTCATGTCCTATTGCATACCATACGTAAATCATGCCCATAATCATTTACTACTGAAGATAATTTTTTTTCACAATACTTTTTATGTGAATACATATATGTTTATGGATTTTCCTAATAACATATCGATTTTAGTATAAACAAAATTTTCTCCTATGGTGACATCATTTTTTATACATGTATCTTAAATTAATTTCGTCTATCACTGATTTTGTTATTTATCCTGTATTCAATTTTCTAATTTTTTTAGTCAAACGTTTTCTTTTCTGTGGTACTCCAGTTCTTGTAATCTTTGATGTGATGTGAAATTTAAAGGTTGTGTTAGTTTTATTATAGTTGGCTACTGAATGTCTTCTATGTTCACAGGTTAATAATAAATCAATCTGATGTATACTGTAAAGAACATCAATTGTTCGCTAAATACAGCATACTTTTTGTTTATTTATTTCTGATAGCCTTATACATTGTTCTATTGCCTTTAGTAGATCTTATTAACGGAAAATCACAACAGTATCAGACGCTCTAAACAGTCATTTAGACTCCTAAACATTACACTCTTTTTAGTTAAACTAGACTGATAAAGTTTCGAGTAGGAGAACATGTGATCTCAATCTGTGAGAGTCACCAATCAAATTTCGTATAATTTGACGTATTTTAATTAGATTAACGACGAATCCATATTTCAGCAAGTGAAATAACTGTGTCATGTTGATCTGTTGACAGATTGTTTTTAACACTAATATCAGTCGTTTGAAATTACTTATGTTTGGATGTACGGCACTTATAACTCTTATGTTTTGTTTGGCCTCTTTTCTTGTCTTTGATTTGTTCATTTGTGTTTCTATCATTTTCAATTATAGCTTTTATTGTTAAATATTAATCGTGCTGTAACTTGGCTTCCAAACACAATACAAGTTATGTTATGTCGAGCATGGGCTAATTCTGTAAACACACCGTTAGCTAATTGTACAGAATCACCAAATCCAGAACAAACTAATTTATGGTGTCTACAAAAAATTCTATTACATCATATTACTTTACGTTGTTTAACTACAGATCATGGTTTACCAAATGAAGATAAACAAATTTGTGAAGCCGCACTTGTATTACGTATTGTTTACTATGCTAGTCTATTGGCTGGTCAAATGGATTCACCTAAATTATTAGAAATGGAAGCTGAAGAGAATAGATTATTTGAACAACAAATGCGTGCTCATATTGGACCTGTAAGTTGTTGTTCAACCGTTATCGTTACTGTTGTCAAATGTAGTATTATAATATATATATTTCCGAATTAAAGAAATGTGTTGTCTTATTCTAGCATTTCTATATACTCTGATTAATATATTGGCTGATCAGTACAACTGTAGAGTTATTGTTAGAGTAGTATTTTTGTGAATGCTATCAATTGGACTAGAATATAACCGTTCAGAGAAAATATTTCCTTTTTTTCAATTCATTTAAACTGTAACATTTCGGTGAGTAAAGAAGTGCTAATTCATAGTGCGATTGTAAATTACAGTATACTTATAAATGAGATAAATATCATTCTGCATAATACATAAATTATGTAACCGGGATAGGGTAAAACTTAGCACTTTAATCTATTTTTTTCAGATCCATACTTTAAATCAGTTGGTAAAATTAATATAAGAATTATGGTGTAATGGTAGGCTATCATTCATTTGTAGGAAAAAATATACTGGAAGTGCTAATCCAGAAAATAACTGAAATCCATTCAGGACGAAACAAATAGTTATATCAAAATCACGGTCTAATTTATTTAAAATTGTACGTACAATACAAAACATAATTGTTCATCCAGATTCACCATACTCGTGGTCGATTTTTCTACCCAAACAAAATATTTACATCTAAACTTGATGTTGCTCTCCGGGCGTTACCATCACATATAATCAATGTTTTAGAAATACAGATAATGAGGTATATGTAAACATCTTACTTGACCCCCTTTCAAAAACGTTGTTTGTCGACACTTATGTACTTATCTACGCTTGTTACTTCTCGTGGAGGAGCACAGGCAACCCACCAGAATTCTCCAACGAACTCTATCCTGGGCAATGCATTTCAGTTGCTATTCATCCTTTTGATGTCTGCTCCTAATTCCCGACGCAGTGGGTTCTTTGGTCTTCCTCTTTTCCTTTTCCCTTCAGGACTCTAAGCTAGCGCTTGTTTCGTGAATCAATTTCATAATTTCCACAATGTGTTTCCTATCCACTTCCAACGTCTTTTCCTCATTTCCTCTTCATCTGGAAGCTGGCTTGTTCTCTCCTACAGTAGGCTGTCACTGGTGGTATTTGGCCAACGCACGTTGAGCATCTTGCGTAGACAATTGTTTGTAAATACCTGTGTTTTATGATGATTGTAGTAGTTCTCGAAGTTTCAGCTCCATACAATAGGGCTGTCTTGGCGTTCATATTGAATATTCTGACAGTTGTTTTGAGTTCCATATGTTCTTCAACTGTAGGAATGCTGCCCTTACTTTGCCAATCCTTTACGTCTCCATCGGATCCTCCCTGTCCAACAATTACAAACGATTAGAGTTTAGTCGGTTGATTTTTTTACCTAACAATTAGATTTTTTTTAAACGTAAAAAATCCAGAATAATCTTTTTTTTTTAAATACATTTATTTGCCATCTTGGTAAACGTTTGGAGTAATTGGAAATTATTGAGGTAGGAAGTTGACACTTAATCTACAAACAACAGAAGCGTAGTATATACTAATGATGTACAATCTAGCTGTAGTTTACGGAATGCATACAATCAACAAATGGGAAGATTGAACTTTTACTGGAGAGCTTTTAATGTTTCTCTAAAGTGTAGAATTATGTTACAACTCGTTTCTACATATAGTCTATCAATCCATTTTACGAAATATACCATAACATTCAACACATTGAAAGAATGAGCAGCCATTTAGAGAGAACAGTTAAGGTTGTTCCAGAAATATAGATTGTATTTTAGAATAAGAAAATAGAAATTTCTAAGTAATCAAACACTGTTAATTGTGATATTACTTATTTATTCAGCGTATGAAATTTAGTCTATAAATCAAAACAAAAGTAAGATCACCTTGTGATAACTTTTTAGATGGTTTAATCTGACTGGTATTTGTAAAACACAAAATTTATTTTATTTATTATTACTTATTTAATCACATAAGCATTGGGACAAGGAGGCACCAAATAGATACGCGCCACATAGATCATTCGATTTGTATGAGGGTTGGGATACTGCACGGGTGCCAAAACCGAGGCAGGTGGATCTCTTAGGGGGCCACACCCGGAGCCTCTGATCTAAAGGTCTTACCCACAAGGCAGTGGTGCATCGTAAGGAGATGCAGTCTCATGGTAGCTGATGACCAACAATCGGTTCTTAAGCCATTTGTTCCTTCAGAATACTGGAACCTATGTGCACCATTGGCTAGGAATCAGGGTTTTCCAACTCCCCTAGGTAGACTCTCCATGTCCACCAACGCGGTTAAAGCGCCGGATATTCGCTTTTCGTCTTATCAATTTCGTAAACAACACCCTCGCCCCGTGAAGGCAGTCAGTAGAACTTCCCTGGTAGTGGTTGTATGTACGTGGCCATGTGATAGCATTTGGAGAGAGAGAGAGAGCGGACTCGCCCCACTCCCGGCCGTACCAGGGCACTTAGGGGCAGAAAAACATGAACCTCTATTGCTAAATCCTTAAAACAGTTTGACTAATATAGTGTCTAAAATATTAGCTTCGATATTACTTCGACGCCTAACTAAAGCTCGTGAAGAGCAGACTAGAGAAAACCAGGCTGGCTTTCGACCTGGACATGGTTGTGTAGACCAGATACTCACACTACGTCAGGTCCTAGAACATAGACACACATTTAGACGCCCCACAATCGTAGTATTCTTCGACCTTAAGGCGGAATTTGACTCTGTTGATCGTGAGGTTCTATGGCAGTGTTTGTCACTGAAAGGAGTGCCAAAGAAGTACATTAACCTTATAAAGGCTCTCTACTCGAACACAACTGGTCGAGTGAGAGCTTATGGCGAACTGTCATCAGAATTGATTACCTCAAGTTGTGTTCGTCAGAGATGTCCACTCTCTCCATTCTTGTTTACCTTTGTCGTTTACGTGCGTTTAGAGATGACACTTTCCACATCTAAATTTCCAGGGGTTGAACTTCTACCGGGAGATTCACTTGTTGACTTAGAATATGCCAATGAAATAGTTCTATTTAGTGAAGACGCTGACAAAATGCAGAGTCTGCTGACCACTCTAAGCAACAATGCAAGCATGTTCGGGATGTAATTCTCCTCCTCGAATTGCAAAATGTTGCTTCAGGATTGGATTGCATCGACACCCGAACTAGTGATAGGGAGTGAGGTAGTTGAGCGTGTCAACCGCTTCACTTATCTTGGAAGTCTCATCAGCCCTTGTGGTCTGGTGTGTGACGAAATCTCAGCACGGATACAGAAGGCTCGACTACCTTTGGCCAACTTGCGTCATTTACGGCGTAAGCGAGATATCCGTCTATCAACCAAAGGACGTGTTCACTGCACAGCAGTTCGTTCCGTTCTACTTAATGGTAGTGAAGCATAACCGATAAGAGTAGAGGATATTCGTAGGTTACTAGTATTCGACCATAGATGTCTTCGAAACATTGCTCGTATATCCTGGGACCACCGAGTAAGTAATGCAGTTGTTAGGAAACGAGTACTAGGTAAGGATGGCAAATCAATTGATGAAGTAGTGAAACTTAATCAGTTGAGATGGCTGGGACATGTGTTACGTATAACCGACCACCGACTGCTCCGACGTGCGATGTTTTATGGTGTCGGAGTAGGTTGGAAGAAAGCTAGGGGCGGCCAGACCAAAACATGGCACAAATTCAAGAAGTCACTGACAAGTGGACTGAGCAATGTTGGTAGGTGTAGACTACCTGGTTGAGGTGCGCGTGACGATAGTAACCGATGGTTGGAGATCTTGAATTATATGACTCAAAATCGTTTGCAATGGCGCAGGTGCATCCACTCTTTGTGTTCTCCCGAACTCTAATCTTCTGAATTCTTCATGTTCTTTATTTTCTTTCCAAATTTATTCCACTGGATTATACTCCTTAAATAACATCATCAAACCCTAATGTTCCCTATTACTACTTATACTTTCACTACCTCTACCATTACGTGATTTGAATCGATAACTGCATCTCTGTGCTAATGTGGTATGGCAACTCGAACTGATGTACGTACGTACGTACGTACGAATTTCCACGTTGTTACTGACTGACTGACTTGATTTTTGAATTTGTTTCTGCAAACTTGTTTTCTCAATGTCAATTTTATCCGAAGTGACTTGTATTTTCTCAGATCATGGATCGATGCTCAAGTCATAGAGAAAAAGTATTTTTCTCTAATTGTACTTTTCTTACTTGGTATGTCTGTCACTTTTTTCGAATAAACTAATATGTATTATTGGTTGATCACTATATCATACTTGTTTAGTCCTTTAGGTGCTGATCGAATTCTACTTGTCAAGTTGCAGTTTGGTCACTGGTTTAATAGTCTCCACGTCATGTTCACTGTTCGATGTGTTGGGCTGTTGGAGGTAGTCAACATGAATCCCTGAACCTGGGCTTTGTGCTATCTCTCATCAACAATCTCACACCGTTGACCTGTTAAAAGACTAGACAAACATGACATTAGTCAGCAATCAATAATATATCAGTTGTCAATATCTCAGTAATACAGGTCATTCGTGACACAAATAGCTCAGTGGTAGCATATCTCAGGTTGTGAAGCTAAGTGGTGCGAATTCAAATTCTACACGAAACACCAGTTCTCTCATTACTGCAGGAACCCCTTTGCTGACGAGTGCTAACTTGCATGAAATTTGGGTTCAGGTTTTCCTGTCGACGACTTCCAACTATACAATTCTGAAGTAACTTTTTATTAATCATTGACTAATCATATATGTTTATTCATCATAATATCCTGTTTACGTCCTGCTTTCTCATATTGTGATGTTTTGTTTGCTTAATAACATATCGATAATACTTAATGTTTTGTTTCTAGACTTATGAAAGGCGTTCACGTGTTAGTTTACCTGAAGATCCATTTGCTAAAGCGCTGAATATTTCTCCTAATGATTGTCGTACACCATTTATTCCAGCTAAAGATTTTGTAAATGAAACACTCAATGATGGCCTACAGGTTTGTTTTAGTAGATGTTTTTTTACTGACATTATCGAGTATTAGTTTTGCAGTATAACTAATTTATTATTGTTTGCTAATGTCTAATCAGAGCATAGAAGGGACTGTAAACGTCAAATAGTATTCGTCAGGTTCGCCCACTGACCCCTTTTTGCTTAATTTCGTCATGACTCTCGTTTTAGAAACAATTCACTAACTTTTTAGGACGTTCGCCTATCGACTAACTATATACAGATAAAAATTCCTTTTTTTCTGAAGAAGACACTGATTAAAAGCTGAGTCTTGTGATTGCAAACATGTTTGGAATGCGTTTCTCTGCCTTTAAATCCATAATGTCGTCTCAGAATTAGTCTGCTTCAACACCTGAACTAATGATGGGAAGTGAAGCAGTTGAATGTGTTGGCAACGTCACTTATCCTGGAAGTCTGTTCCTCCCTAGTGAGGTGGTTAGCGACAAGATCTCGGCACGGATTTGAAAAGCCCTGTGAAATTACATTAATTTGGCGTAGACGAGATGTCCATCTGCCAATCAATGGGCGCGTATACAGGCTAGAAATCCTATTTGTATTATTCTTTGGCTGTGAAACATGGTGTATGAAAGTTAAAGATATGTCTAGACTAAACGTTTTCCGTCGCTAGTGTCTTCGAAACATTTCTTGCTTTTCGTAAAACTGCAGAATGAGCTATGTCTGGTCGAAGAATAGGGTACTTGATAAAGCTGAGGAATCCGTTGTTGATGTAATGAATCCTTATCAGTTGAGGTGGTTGGGACTGATGATTTTTACTGGTGTAGGAGTAGATTGGAAAAAATCAAGGGAGATTAGACCAAGATATGGCATCAGTCCGTGACGCCACTGACTGTTGATTTAAATATGTTGGTAGGTGCTGACCACTGAGACCAATGGTTGGAGACTTTGAGTGACATAGCTTATAATTGGTCACAGTGGTCCCGATGCATTCACTCTTTATCTTCCTCTCGATTTCGAACTCCAATATTCCTTTATGCGTACTTATCCCTCCCTTTTTTCTAACCATATTCCCAATGTTTAGACTCTTTCTCATTACTACCATATTATCCTTATCTTTTGCTATTTTTATCTCGTGCTAATTAAGTGTGGCAACTTGGCCCAACGTACATCTGTACCAGGCTTTCGGTAAATATGATATCTCTGCTTGTCAACGTATTCAGTTGATTCAAAAAGCAAACATATCGTTTTTCTCTTTCTGTATGATCTACCCAATTAAAATAAGTCATAAGTCAATCCTAAATTACTTGGAACCTTGGAGATAGATATTGATCTGATAAGACCAGCAAATTTTAAAGCAACAAACTGAGATGAAAATAACACAACAAAATGCAGAGTGCAAAACAGTAATGTTAATAGTAATGAAAACTAAACATACAAAATGTAGTTGAAAGTGAATAAGTGAGAAGTGTGAAGTTGAAAGGTGTGGAATAACTTCAAAATTCAAAAGATTTCGACAAAGATAAAGAATGCACATCTAGTTAACTATGATCGATTTCATGCCATATCAACCATGTTTTGAAGCCATAGATTGTGTTCAACGTGACAACTATATCCAGAAAAGCTTTACGTTTCAATTTTCTTCAGTTCAACAATTAATGTCTTCTCAATATATTCTTGTACTTGTCGTCTTATTATGTTGAAATATGCATGTATGTAACATTATATCCTAATTATAACAGTTGATAAGAAAGGGTTTACGAGTTCATTAACCTGTATACAAACTTTAATGCATTAAATCTCCGAATTTTTCACTGATCATATTCAACTAGTCATTCAATGATCCCTATCATCATGGTCAATAGAATAGTATCTGTAAAGTACACAATTTGTGTAGCCACACTGATTCTAACTGTCTGCATTTATATGTGATCAAGTTATATTTTAAGAGACTGTCTGACTGTAACCTACCTTCGCATCATATATTAATAGTTGTTAATTGTGATTACTAATCAATTCCATCGCTCTTTTTTTGTTTTTTAATTAGCCAAAAAAAGATTATATTTATTATCGTTCAAAAGGTATATCAAATGAGTTAAGCTTTATGAAATTACCATTTCTGTTACAAACTAGTTCAAAATCTGTTCTATTGTATTATGATAATCGTATGCGTATGCTAGATGAACGTCGAGGTGTTCTGATGCATACTTTTCTCATGGATACACCTGAAATGCCTTTCTTTAAACTGCGTGTTCATCGGGATAGAATTGTTGAAGATGCTTTGTTAATTGTAAGTTATAATTTGTTCTTGTTATGTCATTATTAATTACTATCAATTACATACAATTCCTGTTCGTATGTTGATATGTTGATACATCTTGAAGAGTGCAAAAATAAAGAATTGAGCAGAATTACATGAATTCGCTTTAGTCTGGTAGGTTCTCATCTACTGTTTATTGTTTTTTAGCTGACTTATAGTGATTCTTCGACTAAAGGATAAGTTACCTGGTCCTGCTTCATGTAAGTGTATCTACGAATTCAGCTACTGTGGAGAAAGCTATGTTGGGCTCACTACCAGACAAGCGAATAAACGAGTTAATGAACGCCTTACTTCGTGGTTATGTTAGGACATAATCAAAATATGCAGCTCCGTTCTGTCACACTTGATCGATGGCGGTCATGTATTAAACAGAAATAAATCATTTTAATCATTTATCGTAACCCACTTTTCCCTATAGAGTTCGATCATATCCCTCATACTTAGCAGAAGCTATATGGATTCGAGCTAACAATCCCAGGTCTTTGTATCCATAAGAAATTTGGAACACCTTTATCTCTTCCTTTGCCTAATTAGCCTTACTAAACGTTCTTAATTATTATTTTCTATACACTTTGTTTATTTACTTTCCTTTACTCCTCCTTTTTCAAATGCATGTTTCATTCATCGTCCAATCATCTGAACACATATTACGTAGTTTTACAAATTTTAATATAAGTTATTTCAGTGTCCATTTTTCTAATTCATTGATCCACTTCCTTTTATGAAAAATTAATTCAAGCCTCTACTATTCTCATCACAACTAGTACACCTATCATCACACAATCAATTTGTACATTTTACTTTTCATGTTCATTTATGTAGTCTGATTCACTGTTATTACTGACCTCACAAACTGCCTTGATTGGTTTAATAATTTCATATATACACGTAAATATTACTGTCTATTAAAGCAAAGCCTGACCAGGATCTAATTGGGAACAATATTGTCCGCTTATATATACGAACGAATCAGATATAAAATAACAGGTCTTAGACTTTGGTGCGAAGTTTATTCATCCTTTTTACTAAATAACGTTTTGGCATTTTAGGTGATGTCAGTTCGTGATGAAAACTCGAAATCTAGTTTCTAGCTCTAACTATGGTTCTAGTTCTCCACACTGGTTTATATCTGTTGTTTGATCATAGTAGGCGGACACTCTCAAGGCCACTGTAGAGTCGCCCAAAGGTCATTCATAATTTATGGTCTCACCAATTTCTACAGTTAATTTAGATTTTTTAGAATTAACTCTTGTTTTATTATACTTTTACTTGTACTGAAGTTGGAAATTGCTTGTATGGAAAATCCGGGTGATTTTAAAAAACAACTTCTCATCGAATTTGATGGCGAACAAGGAATTGATGAAGGTGGACTTAGTAAAGAGTTTTTTCAACTGATTATTGAACGTATTTTTAATCCAGACTATGGTAAGTTGATTTATTTTGATTTCTACTAAAAAACGTTTTAAACTTTTAATTTTTATCAGACAAATTTTAGCATTTCAACAAGGTAAACGTTTCGATTAATTAAAACAACATAGAGAACTCAATGCCCTATGAAGAGTATATCCAAATTAGTTGTTACAATTCTTATCTGTTCAGCAGGAAACAAGTGGATATTCAATAGAGCGAGAGTTTAAATAACTGCTATCATTAAATTTCTTAGTATTTACAACATGAAATGAACTGTTCTACGATCTTTTTTTTTTTTAAAAAATTTCTTATGCTTCATGTCGATGGATAGCTGGAACCAATCGATAGAAAACTCTTGACCTTGCTTTATTTTCTTTTTTTTTATAACTGCTACTCACCCAAAGATTCAAACTGGCATCATCTATGAGCCCCTGTCAATGTCATTATAACTTGTTTGTTCAGTATGGAACTAAATTTTCGTTAGTTATTTAACGTTGTTTTGATGGATCATTTGTGTTGAGTCACTTATATCAATGAATTCGTATGTGATAAAGAACAGTAACTGAATATCATGACGTTATTTCTTTTGCAGTGGGCAGGTGGTGGTGGTCTAATAAAATGGTAGACAGCACTAATATTAGACTGAGTCAGCGGTAGAGTGTTTATTTTACCTCACTATAGATTAAAAGTACATCAAATAAAGTGATTGGAACAGTGAAAAAAAGCGAACGATAAGTAATGAAAATTCGAAAGGGTGATCGAGCCAGCGACAGGTTGAGAAAATCAAGAGTCCAGTACAGTCAAACATAATTTATCCTCAGTTTAATAGATCAGCCACTTTACGTAAATGCTGTACATATGTTTTAGTACAAGAATTTAAGGAATGATAGGTAACTTGGTCGACAAAAAGTTGATTAACACTAAAGGATTAGGCAACTATGATAGAAGTAACTATCCCAATCGTATAGCAGGTCAGTCTATGTCTGAACAGCTCACTGCTAACGTCTGAGATTGTGAGGCTATCGGTGACGTAGGTCCTAACTGTACAAGAATCATCCATTCTCTTAAGGTTTCAGGTACACCTTGTAGACGAGTGCTAACTAGCATAAAACCTTAGCCTCCAAGGTTTCCTGTCGACTGCCACCTAACATTTGTTGTAAAGTTTTCTTACTACATTTAGTATAATTGGGCCGACGACAACTAACTTGGCCCCAATTTTTGTTATATGAAAAACGTATTTTATCTTGTTATACTCAAATGCTACTACTACTACTACTACTACTACTAATAATAATAATAATAATAATAATAATAATAATAATAATAATAATAATAATCGCAGTACATTTTCCCGTCTTATTTTCTCCATTAAGGTATGTTTGTACTAGATGAAGAAACTCAAAATTATTGGTTTAATCCAGTTCCTCTGGATGATATGGAACGTGAATATTGTTTAATTGGGACGTTATTGGGTTTAGCAATTTATAATGATGTTATATTGGATATTAATTTCCCGTCAGTGTTGTATCGAAAATTAGTTGGAAAATTGGGTACATTCGAAGATCTATTTGATGCTAGACCTGTAAGAATTTTCCACATTATAGATCTAAGTAATATAAGTTGCCTAATTATAAATTCTGACTGATGATGTATTAATGTTGAAAATAATATCCTACATTGAATTCTCTAGGACTTCATTTTATTGATTTTCATCGTCAAGCTTACTCAATACATCATTCTTAAGATTGGTGAATAATTCAACTGATTAGATGTGATGCTTCAAGTTAATTCACATTGCTTTCATTATACATTGTAACACAGCCATGATAAAATTGATTAATATTTCATATACAAAAATTTTTCTGTCTTACTAAAGCCAAAATTGCTGACAATAGTCACCAATGGTTGGAGACTCTGGGTGACATGGCTCAGAATCGATCACAATGGCGTAGGTGTATACACTCTCTGTCTTCCCTTAAACTATGAGATTAAAATTGCTTTATATCTTTCTTTCTACCAACTAATTCTTTCTCCTTGTACTATATCCTTATATGCAATCTTTCTTTTATATATTACCACCATTGAACTAACTACTTCTATGAATTCGGTGTTTATCTTATTTTGCTAATGCGGTGTGGCAACTTGGACCGATGCATATATGTGCCCGATCCTACGTTGTAACTGACTGACTGAAATTTCACTATCTAAATGAAAAAAGAAACGTGCATATCTATTCGATCAATTGTTATCACACTACAATAGTTTTTCAAATATTTCTCTCATAGATATACCATTTATTTATTATTTCGTTTGAATAAGGACAACTGTTTTTAGCTTCATTGGTTTTCTCGTCGATTTTTTCTCTATTTCTATCTATTTGTGAAACTAAAAAAGCCTCTTCAATAAGATTATCCCTTTTTCTCACTCCTGCCTCCCCAAATTTCTGTCATACACTTCTTTAAAATGATTAATTTCTACTTTTTTGTTGCTAAATATGGATTATCTTCCAAGATAACGGCTTATATGTTCATTTAATGGGTGCTTATTGATCACAATTTCATAATAATTTCAATACTATTACTACTACTGTTATTGCTGATAATATTAGCATATTGTTCCATTTGATTCTTTTCCTTCCCCCCTCTCTCTCTCTTACTCCTCATTTTCTGCTATTTCTTTCTCAGTAATTTGTTATTTGTATGTAATTTTATTCAACAACACATTAATCCTTGTCATTTGTGTTCATTGGATCTTACCTGTTTTTCATCATCACATATATCGGTTCCATTTGTTTATAGTGCGATTTATACTTTACCAGTTCACTAGCATATTTTTATAATACGTTTTTCAGATGATATGTATAGCATATTAGTGTTTGTGTTATGCTCTCAAAGTACTTTCCGTCCGTTTTTCATCTAATATTTCCGTCCGAGTTTTTTTTATTCAAGAAAGATAATAGTATTCAGTGAACAGAGGATCTAAGGTATTTTAGCTCAATTTCAGTTGATGTAGTAGTGCAAATACATTTTTTCACATGTCTTTTTCTCAGTCTTGAACATCAAAATTATTTTTTAGATTTCATTCATCCATTCTCAGAAATCTTCTTACTTTTTAACTTTTCACTATCCTCGCTGTACTTATTTGTTTTATTAACTTTTCTGTGTATTAGTTTTGAACTACGACAAAGTGTTGAACAATAGTGATTTGTCTAATATTTTCAGCAAAGTTCTCACTTGATAACTGCTCAATAGTTCAAGTTTAGGTCCTCATGGTCGTGTAATTTCATTTATTTGTTCTTTTGGAGTTAGATGTTTTACACTTGTGACTGAAGGTCAATTACACGAATCTGTATCTGGCATATATATATATATATATATATATATATATATATATATATATATATATATATATATGTATATATATATGGGTATTTCCTTTTTGTTAGAGTTTAGCCCAAGGATTAAAAAATTTGTTGGAATATGAACATGATGATATTGAAAACGTATTCGGTTGTTCGTTCTCTGTCAATTACCTTGATCCATTCGGTAATGTTGTTACACATGAATTAAAACCGGATGGAGCTACAATTCCAGTTACAAAAGAAAATCGTCAAGTAATTCTTGCTTTTTTCATTTAATTTTTTTGTCTTTGACTTTGTATATATTTTTTCTTTTTCATTTAAGTTAATTAATTTGATGCTTGTGTATTTGTTTTAGTAAGTCAGTTGCATAGCAACTAAATTGGTCAATTAAATTTTTGATCAAATCAATTATTGTGTTTACACATAGTTGTCTTTTCAAACAGTACTAACATGTGTTTAGGTTATTTACATGTTGATACAATTATCCTTATGAAATATAACATTGTGATCAAATCTATTGTAAATTAACTCAAGTAATTTATAATCTATACATTAAGTTATTGAATTAAACAAACTTAAGAGGAAAGTTTTTTTTCAGCGATATTTTTCTAAAATTCTACAATGACATTTAACGATATATTTACATGAATAAAAATTGTTACTCACAGCTTGTTAGGAATAAAATTCATTTTTGAACTAAGATTCCGTCATTAGATAATAATCATTTAGGGGGAGAGAGAGAGAGAGAGTGAGTGAAAGTTTTGATTAGGTAATCAGATTAAAACTTACAAAAGTAAATAGATTAATCAATATCAGCTTAATAAGTTGAATATTGTAATTCTAATGAATGAATGAATGGGATGTGAATAGAAGATGGAACTATGTGGATTGTGCAACTTGAGAATTAAAAATACACAGTTCAACTAAAGGATTTGTTCTCAATATATATATATATATATATATATATATATATATATATATATATATATATATATATCAGTCAGTCAGTCAGTCAGTCAGCTGCAACGTAGGACCAGGCACGTATATGCATCGGTCCAAGTTGCCATACCGCATTAGCACAACAAGATGAACACCGGATTCATAGGAGTAGTTAATTCAGTGGTGGTAATATATAGAAGAAAGATTGTGTATATGGAGATAGTACAGGAAGAAAGAATTAGTTCCTAGACAGATATGAAGCGATTTTAATCTCTTAATTTAAGGAAGACAGAAAGTGTATACCCCGACGCCATTGTGATCGATTCTGAGCCATGTCACCAAGAGTCTCCAACCATTGGTTACGATAGTCACGCGGACCCCAACCAGGCAGTCTGAATCTCCCAACATGACTCAGACCAGAAGTTAGTATATATATATATATATATATATATATATATATATATATATATATATATATATATGGGATTTTAAGTAATAATTCCATAAGGACATATATAATGTAATAGAAAGATTTTAATTCTGGATTATTTATTGTATATAATAACAATACTTTTGTTACAACGAATGAAGGTATTAGAGATATTAAATGTAATGAAGTGATGTCAGAAAGGATTACGTATAAAATAATGAGATAATGAGAAATAATTGGCGAGAGAAAGAAATCAAAGAAATGAAAATAAAATAAATAAATGGATAAGTGGTAATGATAATAATAGTTTAAGGATACGGTAAAGACAACAATAAGTTGTACTTCATTTTATGAATACCAAGAGCTTCTAGGTTGTTTTCAGGGAGTTGAATACTAAAATATATTGTTTGATTTGAACGAATTCTATGATCAACTTGTGAATCATTTATTTGATTGGAATCGACTAGATTTTCAGGGACAGAATTCGTTACCACTTTCGTCTTATTTTTGTAGAACCACACTGGAATATGTTTTCGTAATGGAGTTAAAAGAGAGCGCTAACTACAGATCATGTACATCGCTTTATAAGAGCAGGTGAACTGATAGATGCACTCGAGAATGATACAATTGAAAATCTGACTAATTCAGTAAATGTAGGACACTTACTGCTATCATGCTGGTTGCGAAACTTGATAACTCCATTCTCTTGTAGTGTCATGTGTAACATCAACATTACATACCTTTTTAAGGTTATTATCATTAATCGAAGTTCCTAGGGGACTAAGTATATCATTAATATCTATTTATCAATTTGATTGACATCTAGCCTACTTTAATTTCTATAAATTCTTCAAAAATGGTAATAGGATAACCTAGCTTCCAATTGTTTAGGCCATGTCGTTAAACATCAGTATCAACGTAACAATATTAGTTATTAACTTAAAAAATGTTCCTGATTTAGATAATATTCAGCTAAAAGACTTATTACCCATGCTATCTGCTAGTTGGCTATTTTAAATATGGAAATATCTACAGTCTGTACAGAATCACACCTTACCACTGGTACTGTTACTACTTATACTAATTTCTCAATGTCTTGATAATTTAATTTCGTTATACTGTTATGGTGTAGTAGTAACTTGAACCAATTTATATGTGTCATTTTCTAGGTTACACATGATTGACTGACTATTACAAATTTATATTACTGGCTTAGAGTATTGCATTGTCGTGTTAGATTTAATACACAATTAAAAAGTAATTAATTATTATGCTTATCATTATATGTAGTTTATAATTTGTTCATAATAAGTATTTTCATTTAAAAAAACTTCTTTTTTTATTTTGTGTTAAAATTAAAATTAAGGAATATGTAGATTTGTATTCAAGTTTCTTGTTGAATGATTCTGTTAAAAAACAATTCAATGCTTTTCGAAGAGGTTTTCAAATGGTTGTTGATGAAAGCCCATTAACATTTTTATTTCGTCCAGATGAATTAGAGCTACTTGTTCGTGGAAGCCCAGTAAGTATAATAATTTGTATGAAATATATAATGATATATTTAAAATGTTCATGTTTCTATATATGTAATATCATAACTCTGAAATGATAACTAGTTTAAGAAAAATCATTGTATAACAAACCTGACGGTTTGTTATTGGAAATTGAACGTATAACAGGAATTAACAACCATTGAAATTCATTGATAATGCTGATTGCTATTAAGGCAATTTACAATAAATGTATTATCCATCTACACTTTAATTAGAATTCGGTTGATCAATGAGTTTGAGTTAGTATCATATTTATCTAGTCGTTTTTCAGTGTTGTTCAAAGTCTATAGATCAAGTTGTAGTGTGTGGTCACTAGTTTAAACAAGTTGACATTACTGGTTTAAATCCTACAGGAAACAGCTCTATGAAGATTGTAGATACGCTTTGTTGAAGAGCAACAACTAATATGAAATCTAGTACCAGGAATTGTTGCTGACAAACCTTCAACTATCCAGCACCTTTGATTAGCTTTTGTTTTTAAAAATCTAACCGTTATTATCATTTTGTAATACTTCTTTTTTATTAATTATCACTGAAACATAACAAGACAGTTTACATACTTAAATTTTGATCCTTTTTTAAAATTCTATTTTTCCATTTACATTTCTTATCTTTTTTTTCTTCATTAAACAAATTATACAATTCATATCTCATTATAATAGGTATATGATTTCAATGAATTAGAAAGAGTCACTACATATGAAGAATATACATCTGATTCACCTGTAATTAAAAATTTCTGGTCTATAGTACATTCAATGACTAAAGAACAAAAAAAGCAACTATTACAATTTTCTACTGGTTCTGATCGTGTACCAGTTGGTGGTATGTCAAAAATGAAATTTACTATAGCACGTCAAGGTTCTGATACTAATAGGTAAATTAATTTTGTTTACATATTATTTTATAAATAATTTATTCTTTTTTTTCCTTTTGTAAATTTGAATTTTATTAGTTAATTTTAAATATTTAGAATTTAAAACAATTAACAGGTTATTCAAATATATGATTGAAATGGTTGACATAGCAATTATACTCGACCTAATCATAGCAGCTAACTTAACGTGGTAGTTAAACTTATATGTCTCACTGACTCAGTTGAGCTATATTTGAAGTGGACGAAGACTTGGTTGTGATAACCAATTCATTGTTTAATGCGAAATTACAGAGTTCTTTCGTAAATTGTGAAAAATACTTCATTTGCAAATCTTCCATCAATTGTCCTTTACATCCTTTATGATTCTTACAATTCTCAGTTCCTTTGTGTTTCCCTTTCGGTTTTATTCAGTTTAATTTTCTCAACATTCTTTTGACAGGCATTCCACTTCTGATGGTGCTATATACTATTTATGTCGACAAATATAAGTAGCATACGCCTCATATTAACTGGAATACTCATTCATTTAAGTAATAACATACCACCTATATGGGCTAAAAATCAACACTCATGGTCTGAAAGCGGAATAGTTCTGCCTACTGTACAGATTTTTGACGACATTATAGCATTTTCCGTAAACAATCTGTGTCTTCAATTATTCTGTCTATTTACAACAGAAAGAGGAAGTCAGAAAAAGTAGACTGTAAAATTAATACGTTTCATATGACCTTACGAATTGCTATTGCTAGCGAGCGATAAGGCCTTATGAGTATAGAGCCAAATCATCTAAAACTATTCATATAAGAGTGATACATAAGTGCCTCTCAAGGAGTCGTTACTGGGGCTTTGTTGTTTCGCTCCTTGATCGTCAAGACCAGTACTAACTCAGTTCCATTTTCGGTATCCTCAAGTAAAATCATGCTCTCATGGTGTCGGCCTCCCGGAAGTGATAACTGTTGTCGTACCTTTCACAACATTTGAGATCACCTTGTTCACAATCAAGTTCTTTCTTTACTATCTAATAATTTTTTTCTATTTCTATTATCAACTTTATTCTTCTGTTTTCAACTAATTTTTCACACGGCAAATTCATTTTAGTATCCAGTTTGCTAATCATCGGACTAAATACATCATCAAAAATTCACGAAATACAAGTTAAATGTTTGCCCTCTATTCTACCAATTAACCTCTTTAGATGTATGCATTTGTATTAATTACAAAGTGAAATTCTTGTTTGTTAGTTTTAAAGAATAAAACAACACCTTAAATATGAGTGTTTTTGCATATTATCACATTCATATATGTTAAAACAAACTTTATGAGTTCCATGTATCACACAGTGAATAAAAACTAGAATACTATTATAAACATTATTTTAATTCAATAATATACTGTTACTTATCTAGTACAATCCATTGTATTCATGTGTAGTTGATAATGGCAATACTTAACTAGATCCAAAGTTGGTGGAGTGATATTGGATTTTGGTTGTAACTTGTCTGCTTTTATGTTTTAATTCCTTAACCCTATATCAGAGCGTTAATGAAACCTTTTTATCGGAAACTCATAATTGTGTGATGAATGCATTTTGCCATTATTTCTTGCTAAGGTAAACCAAATTAAACTATAAATACTTTCTGAATAAATACCGTCATAAATGTTTACATTTTATTGTCACATATTCTTACTTTAAAAATAACCACAAATTTTTTGTAAGTTCATCTCTCTTTAGTAATCTGTGTTATATCCTTCAGTTGAAACTGTCGAAGTACTTAATTGGAATGTGAAGATGATTATTAATCCTACAAGTGATTAGTAAGCGACTGAGAATCTCACAGGGATGGCCAACCTGAATACTGTACTTCGTAACGGTAGTTAGAATCCCACATACACACCGCCTTTGTCGTTTACCCAGATAACATAGAATCTTAGTCTAGGACTTTCTCGCGATTGCATCCCACCATTGATAATTAAACGTTTAGATGGAAATTTTTGGTACAGAAACATTATTTTAGACGAATAGTACAGGTAGCACACAACTATTATGCATAGTGACATATTGTCATATGAATAAATTTTCTCCAGATAGATATCTCTCTTGAATTCATTCAGTAATGCATTTGTTTGCAGCATGTTTTTTTAAAACAATTTTCTAAAATTTTAGTTATGCGTAGTCATTTTATGTATGTGTACACATTGTTTCCATTATTGTGATTTCTTTCATTTCAGATTACCGTCTGCTCATACTTGTTTCAACATTCTTTTATTACCGGAATATCAAAGTTTGGAAAAATTACAACAATCATTGTTACTGGCGATAACACATTGTAAAGGATTTGGAATGTCATAAATCCAACTTGTCTTCTCCTTCTTTCTTTTTATCCTTTGCATAACTTCTTTGTTCTACCGTTGGTGAACTACTTTCTTCCTTCCTTTTTTTCGATTTCCTATAGTTCGTTTTTTTGGTTACTTACGGAATTTCTCTTTCTCGAAAGAATAAGGGAATTATTAATCAATGACTTGAAATCCAGTCACTAATTTATCATAATTTTTTTGATCGAATCTGTACTACCAACCTTGTTTGTTTATGATCAATGTTCAATAGCAAGTCCAACACATATAAACACCTACTTACTTATAAACAACATGATTTTTTTGCATATACTTACATATATATTGGCAGCAGACAGCAATTACAATTTCGTAAAATCTGCTCAAATTATTGAATATACAGTGAAATATATCAGTATTTGTAATACTAAAAATAAATGATAACTATACAAAGAAACAGAAGATCAACACAGTGTTTTGACGTTTACGTAATGATCTACACATCATATTTGTAACACAATGTAAACGTGCATGTGATTTACGTATTCAGTTGATCAAATGAATTAGCTGATTAAATCATATAATAATAATAAATATGACACATCTCTTCGATGAATCTAGATTAGCTTTTTTCGTCCATTCACCTGTCAATGTATGAACCTGTTTGTCTATGTGAATACATGTCTTTCTTTCTGAAATGTCCAGTATACGGTGGGAACACTTGAGGAGACTATGAAATAATTGTGTAACGATTCTCACTGTACATCGTTTTTCCACGAAGAAAACACAACTGCAACATTTAGCCATATGTTTCGGTTTCTTTTTTAAAAAACGAAATTTAGTTTCATTTTCTCTAAATTATGAACTTTAGTTTTTTTCCCGTTTTATAATGAACTTTGTATTTGACGCATTTTTGAAAAATTTTCTCATCTTTCAATGAACGACGTGGTAATTGATCAAAGGTCTTTATAATAAATTTATTATGTGGATTTTTGTCTTTTACATGTGCTCTTTTTTCTTCTTCCTCTCTGTTCCTCATTTTAAATGATTGATGTAACTATGAATATATTATTTATTGTGATGTGAGTACTACTGGTATGATGACCGTTATCAGTAGTATATAATGCAGACACATAATTACATATAATAAAAGTAAATTAGAATTGCAAAACAAAATAAACGTTGTTTACTATTTGTCCACGTTGTTTGTCTTTTTCATTCATTGATTTGCCTTTCAATTTCAAACAGTTTCTAGTTGTTTGATTGTACGCTTGTATTGTCACTTTTTAGGTTCTATTAATATTTCTACACATATAAATTCTTCTCTCTAGTATGTTTAGTCATTAAAAAGTTCATTTACTGTGTACGTTGAAATATTTTAATGTCTGTTGAGTGTATGGTGTGTTATACCATCGTTAAGATTAAGATAATTCTTAATTGTGATGGCTTTTTAAGAGTTTTACGTTTGCTGCGTTTTCTAGATCGAAGTCTCGTAATGAAATTATTGTTAAAAAGGTTGTTATTTCAGTTTGTTGATGATTTCTATGTAGATACTTTCAACTAACATGAAACTCGACTATCCTACATGCTCATTGACGACTAGTTTACTACAACAACCTTGTAAATGTTTCCTTTTTTCCAACTGTCATTATATGACTGGTAATATTTTGTATTTCGCAATAAATGACATTATTTGGTTTCATAAATTGTTGACAATATAAAATCTAGAAAAATGACTTTAACTATTCAACATGAAGACATGATATCTTCATTAATATTGGTGATTTTATTGATTAAAATACACTGAGCTAAATCTATAATGGCACCAAAATATTATGGTTGAGTGAAGTGAAAGGGTTAAAAGTGGGTTCACAAATCGGTCATTGCCTATAAACCTGTTCAGTCCTTAATATATTTCTTAAGCTTTGGCTAGATTGATTCTTAACCGAATCATAGTTTATGTTCAAGTTCAAATTTTACTTCTGCACACGAAATTCAGTGAAATTACTCGAGTAGTCGAGCGTCCTATGGATCTGATTTCAGACGCTAGTTTAAAAGATGATAGGTTTGAAAACAGCTCTACCAAATCTTTATCGGAGCAGCGGTTACGTCATTTGAATCAACAAGTTTAGGGTTTGAACCCCACTCCACCTACTTTGATGTGGACAGCCAGGAAATTTCATTAGCCCTCACAGTTGAAGGACAGCATGAAGTCAGACGCACGAATTTTCTTATAAATGAATGAAAACGTACTACAGATAAATTAATAAATGATTTCTTGCTTCGTTGTGCTAATATATTACTTATATTTTATGCCGCTTAAAACTAAACTTAAATAATGAAATAAGTTGGTTTTCCTTACATTTATAAAACACGAAGAGTATTTCCGAATGTGTTTTCCTTCTGAAACATCCAAACAGGCTTTCATCTTTTATTAAATAAATAGTTTACACCAAGTATTCCTTATTGAAGAGTCGATTGCAAGTTCTTTTGTGTTTTATATACTTGTTAATGAGTACTCTAACAGATGTATAGTAACTGCAACTAGTGATTTAGTCATAATATACATATCATAGGCTTCATAAATCAGTCTCATATAAACCTGATTAAAATAGTGACAATTATGAAGAGCCTTAAAATCCAAGTTTAACAATGCTAAATATATCCTGGTTAATAATGAGATAGTGAATTAGATTGCGTTCGTGGTTGATAATTAAAATTATTTCTAGATTGTGATACTTCTTATTTACTCATTTCAATGTATTTTAATGAAGAAATGTACGCATGCTTTCCAGTCGAACTTAAAGATAAATTTATTTCAAAAAAGATTTCTTGATCCCAATCAAGTCTATTATGACAGTCACATTTCGAAATTGGTAAATTTGCACTAAAGCGGTTTTTAAGACCATCCTAATTTACATCTTGTTTGAAAGTTCTAATTACAAGCACTGTTAAGTTAGGTTTTTTAACATAATTATTATCATTGCCTATCTGATCTCTGTCATTGTAATTCTAGAGAGGATAGGTGATTGCATAATTGGTAGTACGTTATTGTTAACACCCAAATTCATTCAGAGGGACATGAAATAATATATAACATTCTGATTTGTGTAATCGTTTTTGATAAAGCGCAGGGTTTCGATAATTTTCATACTACCTTCAGGAAATCTTTAATGTCTGGCTTTGGATGCTGTAAAAAACCATTTTCATCTTAATAGTAGCATCAAGTTTTTTCTTGAAAAGCTATATCGAAGCCAATCAACAAAATTTTCAAAGCTATAGAAATAGATTTCCGACAGAACATTAGTTTAATGTACTTTGGAGACTTATGCTACCGGTATATGTCTTGTTTTTAGCTAACATATATGTAACAGAAGGGTAATACTAAATCAATTGGGATATCCAAGCTGTAATACGATAACCTGAATGGCTTTGTACTGATATTGCACGAATTGGTAATACGTATGATTCCTACACCCCAAAGGACGATTTGTAACTGTGACTTGTTAATGTTTATTAGAAATTACTCTATATCCATTTTCATGCAAAGTAACAATGATAGAGTGAATAAATAGTCTTTGGTGATTGGTTAAACAACAAAATATTTTGTCCAATTATATTGTTCTGACGACAGACCAGAATAAATCGAAATCTGAAGTAGGAAATATCATAACAGTATAGAATAGGAACTACCAGTCAGATGAGGATGTAACTTGTGGGCTTGTATGGGAAATTCAATCATCACGTATAACAAACAGTAGAAATACCTTTATATACTGCTCAAATCGTTCAAAATGATGACGAAAGATTATTTTTTGCCATTGTAGTATAAAAAAGTGATTGCCACAACTTTCCAAATGGTATATTATTATTTTGCATATTGTGTATAACAGACAGGTCAACATTATCATTAAATCCTACCTGTAAATCTTTAATTCCGCAACGAATCATTACCTCATGGTTTTCAGTTTTACAAACGAACAAATCAGATAGTGGCCCTTACATTTTCGCATAAAATTCATTCATCAGTAAGGCTACTACGCATTTTTGTCACTTCGCAATGGAAACCGTAATCCTAAATCTGGGTACTTTTAAAAATTTATTTAGGTAACACCAAGAATTGTAGAAGAAGGATAATCCATGCCATAAGGATGTTGTAGAGTCTAGTATTATGCCAAGCCCATATGGGTTTTTTTGGCTTCTGGACGGACCAATTTATTCATTCTTCTTGAGTCAAATTTTGGACTTGTCAATTATTTGCTTATTAACCTTGACTGTTTCTATGTTAGTGTATGTGTGTGCATTTCTTATCCTATCCATTATATATATGTAGCTTATTTTAGTCTGACTATAAATATTGAGTTACGCTTGGTCAGATGGATTTGGTTCATTCGCCTTCTGCGCTTGACTTTCCCGCTTCCTATTCTGAATTTCTGTCTGGATAAACGAGCGCTTTTAATAAATCCCTCCAACGTAACTAGTATTTAGCTTCTTTCTACCGCCATCACACAAACGTGGTTATCCTGGGTAATATACAGGGTTAATTAGAAGACGTATGTTAATAGCATCTTCGTACATTCATCCGAATCAGTGTCAGATCAGCGGGCTACAAAAGTGTCGTTGCTATTCTGTATTTACGGACAGAGCAACCTGGAAAACTTGTTAATCAGTCCATTATTTATGCCAAATTTGTTTACATTTAGCGATACTATTCTGATTGATTAAGAGCCGGTTTAAAATTTTACGTTTTTTCCACACTCATCCCCATATTATAAGCTTACAGGACGATTTTTACCTCTCTGACCAAAATCTAGATTGTTGATTCCTACTTAACAGACTTTCATTGTCAATTCAGTACTCAGTCACATTGTAGTGGACGCTGTTCACAAGATTGCTTGTAAATAGTATGTAGCTGAATGTGATGTCTAAATTATCACAGTCGTCAGATGAAGAGAAAGTTTTCAGTATATTGAGAGTTTAGCGTAAAAAAAACTTGATATCCTGACGAGACGACAGTTTGGATTGCAGAACACTGCAAGATGCAAATGGATGATCCAAGACTATGTATGCATATCATGTAAACGCTTGTAATTTCTTGCGATATACAATATTTTCACCCATTACCTTGTTTTATTGCATGAGTGGCGTTATAATTCGTGTGATAAGTGCGATAATTAATATATTATATCTTAAATAGAAAGTATTATTTGATATGTTGTGCCTTATATGGTAATGAGTAATAAAAAATTTCTCATGTTTTGCAAAGCACTATCAATGAATTATTGTTTTTAAATAGACGAGATTATATTATGTAATTGTCAGAATTTCAATTGAACGTTATTTCCAACTACTACCTAGATGACATAATCTTTTCGTAAACATCTACCATATTATTACGTATGGTTTGTAAGCTTCATGTGTATTATAATTCACATTCTATCATATATCCAGTTTTTACCTTTTCGACTTATTGATTTATTTAACCTACTTAATAACCATTTTACTTCTTGAATAAGAATTAATAGCATCCATTACAATTTCATCTTTATTACTATTATTGCATAATATTTGGTGTTGAATAGGATGAAATATGTGTCGTGAATTCCACTGCTAGCCATCATTCATCTTTACTTATAATGTTTGTGACTTAAGGCAATATTGATGCAATCCACACAGAATGTACATATGCCAATGAAAGACTGATTAATTGCAATCCTAAATATCATTGGTAAGATTCAAACAAATAACAAAAAAAAATGAATTAGAACTCAAAAACTTGGTAATTTAATGTAAAGCCGTTAAGTTTGCCAATTTGTTTTTTTAGTTAACCAGATAAAACGAGAACTATAATGGTTCTTTATACATGGATTTATGTTTTATCAATAAATTATTGTATTGTGTTTCTTTTTCTGTTTAAAAATTACATCTTAAATTGATATTATCTTGAATTATTCTTTACATTTAATACAGATTGCAATATTATGGATTTTAAACCCATAAATGATTTACCAGAATCAACATATTCAGAATATGCTTGTTTTGATGTATTGCGTTTAGCTACAGTACGTGGAGCTGAATTAGCATCTTTTGAATCTAGTGTCAATGTTTTAACTAGCACTGCACTTACTGGACTTCAACGACTACCTGTTCGTTTACGAAGACGCGCTGCAAGTCATCGTATCAATAGATTACCTCGTCGTTTTCACAAACATCATCATCTTGCAAACCCTAATGAGAATGGTTCGAAGTCTGGGGTAAGAGGCTTTTCCTAACATTTATCATGCTCTGTAACTACCATTTCTTTACTATCGAGTTTATGTTAAGATCATAGGTTATTCTATTTTTGTTAATAGGTGTTAATTTTCCTTCCCTGTAATTTTGATCTCAAGTACAGTGTTTATGGTTCATATTTTTGCATACTTTTTGCTGTTTCCATATTGGTTCTTACCACTTTTAGTTTACCGTTTTTTGTATCTCAAAGTTATGTTTAGCTACTGGATCTATAGAGTCGTTCCACTTTAATTTTGTATTCATTAGATATCAAGTTTTCTTCTGCTTAGCTGATTGTTTTCTAAGGTTCTGTCGCATTCATGATAGATTCCAAAAGTATTAAAATAATCACGATCGTCCATAATTAGCAATTCCTGTAAACCAAATCGAAAACTGTCATTAGCCAATTATTTTTTCAATTTAGAACATTCCTTATCTTTATCGGCGGAAGTAATGAAAGGAAAACTTTGGATATATTGCTGAACAATATTGACACCAGCCAGGATATTTTCTTTATTTATTATAGAATAGTTAATCCTTTCTATTTCCAGCGTTTGGTGATTAATCACTTGTGATCTGGCTGAATGGTCGTTGAGCTTTAGAGCCTAGAATATTGTCTATAGATTGTCTATGTTAGCATTTAGTGCTAAGACATAATGACATAGTGATGCATTCATCCTGTGATCTTTTCTAACTTTTGAAGGTATATATATACTATATTAAAATATGATTGTTTGTATAATCTAAACTATACCTTGACAAACTCCACTTGTGACTAGCTTAGCTATTTGGAGTTAATTTAGACGAATTGTCAATTGTGAAAAACTTAAGCAAGTCTTAAGGTTTTACATTTTCAAAATTAAATTAACTTTGATTAATGACCATTTTTGATCGAATCGAATAGTCTCCAACTATTCATTTTAATCAACATAGGACGTGATACAGTTGTGTTTATCAGTCCAGGTTATTATAACTTACAACAACTGTCTTTTTTCTATAGTGGTTAAATTCATCTTATATATTCGAAATCATAAAACAAAGGATTTTATGTCTGAAATATAGTTGTCATCAATTACGTAAGGAGAATAACATAATCATGTTATCTGTGATGCCAGTCAGTCATAAGCAAAATGGAACATGGTATATACACTCATCAGTTCAAGTTTTCATATCACACTAACGCGGTGATATGAAGTTATTTTAGATAAATCCTATTGTTATAGAAGTAGTAAAATATATAAATACGTTTTTGTATTTAGTCTCTGTTAAGAATACGCTTGATCGACAGAACAGATCGGTTCTGAATCCATCCATTCTTGCTCCCTGTATCGTATCCTTATATGAAGTTTTTTTCATATATTGCTACCATTGAAGTAACTGCTTCTATGAACTTGGTGTTCATCTTGTTGTGCTAATGAGTGAGGTATGGCCGATGCATATGTAGTGAACATGAACACCAGTGGGGACAATCGAATGTATTTGATACTAAATTACGGAGCATCTCAATAAAATCTGAGAATCATATAGTAAATCGTTAATTTGCAAAATATCAATCCATCATATCAAACTTGACTGTTCCTGTTGCAAACATCAATCCATTGTCTGAGATTTCACTGTTCATGCATTTTCATACCAATTGCGTTTCGTTCCCATTCTTTCCTCATCGACCTTCTACTAAAATACACTGTATGCCTGACCATTGTCATATACTACTTGTGTGGATATCAGTAACTCACACCACACATATATGTGCCTGATCTTACGTTGTAGATGACTGACTGGCTATCACTTATGAATATAATTTAGACATTTGTACGAGTAAAAAATATCAGATCTATCTTTCTTGAAATCTCATTGTTAATTGTTAAAGCTTTTATTATTCTGCTCGTGAAATTTGTTGACTTATATATGATGACAATTAAACTAATTATTACTAATATCAGAAGGGGTTTTGTGGAGATTGTTGTAATTTCCATGGGTAAGATCATGAGTCAGTTGAAGCTAGACCACCATGGAAAACCTGGAAGCACTGGACGGCCGTTTCGTCCTATTGTGGGACTCCTCAGCAGTGCGCATCCACGACCTAGCCCTCTGCGAGGTTCAAACCCATAACCAATGTAATTATTATTATTATTATTATTATTATTATAGTTCATAGTATGAATTGTTGAGTGTCTTTCAGAACCTGTTTTTTTATTTTCTCTCTTAAAATCAAGACATTTCAAACTAAAAATAAATTGAAATCTCGCCGATATCGTCGGCGTACATTACGTCTTTTAGCTTTACATGCACGTTTTATTACAACAAATAAACATAATAACCATTTAAAAAAGGAAAAATCATTCTGGTTACCAACACATATATGGCATGCTAAACGATTTCATATGATTACAAAATGGGGTTGGCGTTTACCTTATGCACCAACGAATAAAATATTCAAAGCATGTTATAGAGCATCTCATAAGTAAGTTATTTTAATAATGTTAATTAATGAACCTATCTCTAAGGCTATTGATTTGAATTTTTGATTAAGAAGTTAATATCTTATTGGGAAATTACTTTGATAGAAAGTGTAATGTAATATGGACACCATAGATGAATAAAATATTAATACATGTATTATAATGATTGTTGTTTGTGCTGGTGTATAAATTGAGATGGCGACATGAAGCGCGGACTACAGTTTATTATTGCGTAGCGCGGATCACTAATCTATAAGAACGCCAAACGAATTGGATCAGAAAAGCTAATACACGCAAGCAAGCGAATATATATATATATATATATATATATATATATATATATATATATATATATATATATATATATATATATATATATATATATATATATAGGGAAGCGATTGATTCATCCAGAGATATTTAAGCAACAACATTTTAGCTGGAGAGAGGGATATGTGCGTGGGCTGTCACATATTCAGCATACATGTTCATGCAGTCATAATAATAATAAAAATAATAAAACGACAGACAGATTTTTACTGTTCGAATAACAGTCTGTTGAATACGTTAATTTATGGGCTTAACAAAATTAATCGAAAAGAAGTTTAATTGTAGCAGAGGCGCTGTTTCAATGATTTTTATTATTTAAAGAAATTCTTGAAAATCATTTTTAACTGGTCGAAATTGTGTATTTCATCTTTTCAATATATTATTATTTTTATAATATACAACAATTATTTATTTGGGAATTGTAATTATGAGTTATTAGAGTGAGAATTTTTGGAGATCGTAGTAATTTTAATAGTTGGATTCATGAGTTAATCTAAGCTAGACCACCGTTGAAAACCTGAAAGCTCTGGGCGGCCATTTCATCCTGGTATAGGACTCCTCAGGAGCACGCATGGTTCATGATAGTGTGGCAACTGATTGACTTCATTAGAAATAATGAATGAATGAACTATTGTGGCGTGTGCTATTTATGTAAACATAAGTAGTATATAACGTGAGTACTGAACAGAATGTCTGGCAGCAGAGAGACGAGAAGATCGAACAACAAAGAATGAGGAAAGAATGCAATTTGTATGAAAATGCAAGAACAAAGCGATTCTGAGTCATTTGAGACAATTGATGAACAATTCGCAAATTAACGATTTAATATATGGTTCTCAGATTTTATTGAGATGCTCTGTAATTTGTTGTTAAATACATTCGATTGTCCCCACCTGTGTTCTGTTCACTACACTATGAATGTTAATTCTTTGATTTCTTACATTCTGTTTAAGCTAAAACCTTGTTTGAGCAATGGTGGTGATATGTTGGATAAATTTATTTCAGGCACTTATTTACTCAGACAAAAGTAATGTGTGAAGCGGAGATGTCAACCGTGCGAACTCCATTTAAGCAAAACATCATACAACGTTTATAGGTATTAAGCATGCAAGCAAGCATATAAATATATACATGCTATGATGCACATATCATAAGGTTATATGTGTAAATGACAAAATAAGTAGAAAGATCAGAATAGTTCATTTGTCTAAATTATCCAGGCTTATAAAATACATTCTATATGCTATTGTAATCATAATTATTATCCAGTTAAGTATTCAATAAGGAATTAACTAATCTTTTGAAATTTCTGTGTAGACATGATAATTATTCTCCATGATTGCACTGGTTGTTTGCTTTTCCTTTTATATCCCTTGTCTTATCACGTTCTTAAATTCTCTACTCTGTGGGGTATTCAGTATTTAGATTTGTTGAATTTTCGCAATTTGGAAAAATAATTGATTGAATTTCAGTTAAAAATTGTGTATGTTATATTTGCGAAAATCTTTAAATAATCATTGTTTTCTTGTTATTTCGATCAGGATCTCAAATAGCATTAAATGGTGTGGTTAATCTAGTTGTCTTTATAGATCGATGCATATTTGAACGCTTAGGTTATCTAGTAATGTATGTACACGATTGGATGACTCTTCCAGTCTCTCACATTGTACGAGCATTCCATGTACCTAAATAAATGGTTGCTCTGGTTGTCAGAAGGGGCATCGGCCTCGTGACTTCCGAAGGAACTCGGCTTTCATCATGAGGCATCATAACTCTTCTAAATGAAGACCTTCTGACTCTCAGGGCAGAGTTTAAATGGTTTGAATAATTTTTTTCTGGTTAGCGTTTTTTTAGTGAGTTAGTTTTCTACGGGATGGAGTCGCTAACCCCCATGCCCAACCCTCCTCCTTTATCCGGGCTTGGGACCGGCAGTAGCATCTGGAGGAACTTCAGGCGGAGTTATATACACGATTAGATTAGTCAATTCTCGTAAAAATCTTTATATTATCTAGTTATATCATTGTTTTAATGGCCACGATGGTATACTAGTGTGATTATAGTCTTTAATTGTAATGCTTGTGTCTACATTTTATAATGCTAACTTAATTAATCATTTGTTGAAACCAATATTTCCCTTATCAGTTATTTTCGAAACTAGTAAGTTAATAAAATATATTTACAGCGTCTTGTGACACGATTGAGTTGTTGATCTTCATCAATTGAGGTGGTTGAGACATACATTACTTATCCTCAGTCATCACTCACTTCGAGATATAATGTTGGTTGGGGTAAATAAAAGTTGGAACAAAGCTAGGAGTGACAATATCAAGACATCGAACCAGTTCACGAATTTGCTTACTTAACCTAAACCATGTTGGTAGATGTGAAATATCCAATTAAGAGTCCTCGTGTTAATCACAATCAGGAGTTGGAGACATTAGGTGATATAGTTCCAAATCGGTTATAAAATCGTTGACGGATCTACTCCTTGTTTTCTTCTAGATTTAAAGCTTCAATATTTTTTCCATACACACCTTGTCATTCTACTTTTTACCACCGTATTCCCAATCTTTATTTTTTTCTCATCATCATTACTTTTAAATTATTTCAGTTTATTTAGTATTCATCTTTTAATTAAATCTAGTTGTATTAATCTAGTATTACAACCTAGGCTAACAGATATCTGTCTGGATTTCTATCTTTAGTAAAAAAACAATTTACACGGTAATTTAGAATCTAAGAAAAAAAATTAAAACATTCATGCACATATACTGTTGCAAACAATTCATAGCTATATTACCCAAAATCTAACTATTAGTTACAATAATTACAATGGCCTCAACGATGTGGTCGCTTGTAATTATCTACCTATTTGTAATTGTTCATGTAAACTAACTTTCTTTTTTGTTTCAATTTTTTTTTTAAACTTCAGTGGTTGTTTATTGTTTGACTTCAGTTATCTTAATTGTTTTCAAATATACGGACCTGAGAATATGTTAGTGAAATGTTTAAATAATATATTTCAATTAGATTATCAAGTTGATTCTTGGCTTCCTGAATTGTCCAACATGAAAACTCCTTTATGGTCATGTGAACAAACTGGAATTTTATACGCAACTGATAAATATGTTAAAGATATTTCTCGTCCAGTACTTGGACCTGTTCGTATTCTATGGGGTTCATTAAATTCAGTAAGTTGATTGTTATTTTTTTAAAGAGGTATTTATCATTTGACTGATTGTGTTTATCTTCTACATTTTACTTGATAATTGCAAAATTTCCTATTTGTTTAATTGTTTATTCACACTTTGCAGAGCAATCTGAAGTACTATTTTACAGTTTTGTGACCTCAGAAACTGTTTCAACCACCTGATTGCACACAATGGTTTATGGATCAGTTTCTAATAGACTTTTCTTGTTATTTTTAGCATTGATTAACTGATGTAAATTTTAAGTAATCATTTATATTCAGTTATGCTCCAATGAATAGTCGTTTTGAATATTCCAGGCTGTTTATAAATAATAATGGCACATCGAAATTAATGTCGTTCACCTTCAATATTACGACAAAATATTTATGTACATTTGATATTAGCTGGTTAACTTCACTATCAAAGTCTAAAATATCTGTCAAAAATTAAGTTTCAATGATTAATCCATTAGTCACTGATAGATTTACAATTCTTATACTTTTCACTTCTTTATGCTTTATAACGAATTTTATTAAAATCATGAACTGATCGAAATTGGGCAATCGTTGAAAATATGAAAGCACTGAACGGCCACTTCGTCCTACTGTGGAACTCTTCAACTTCGCATACCTACAATCCCGCATCCGGGAATCGAATTCAGGAACCCTAGCTTTACTCTCGAGCTCTTAACCTCTAGATCACTGAGCCGGGGCCTACTGATAGACTAGGCTAATTCCAATCAGTCCTTGATAGTGCTCGGTGAGAACTTTCCTCATACTTGACACAGTTTAGTATATTCAATGAAGCTCTGCAATCACCACCACATTTATTTTTATATCTAGCTTTCTGTATATAGCTGTGTTATTTTAATGAAGCAAAACATGTTCCTCTGTGTTCTTGTTTTAACTTTGATTCATAATTGATTTGGCGCTTTCAGTTAATACGCCGGTCTCTTTAACAGATACCATATTGTTTTTTAGCAAGCTATCACTCGATTGATATTGGGCACATTTTTAGAATCTTTGATCTCTAAAAGCCAGTTATCTCGGTATACTTTTTTGTACTTAGTCTTTTCACTAAATCTCTGTAATATTTGCTGATCAACTTTTAATTCCCACTTATCGAAACCAATTTCTATAACCACTGTTCAATCTTACTATTTTGCCAATTTCCTAAAAAGTTTAAAACTTTGCCATCTTGTCGAAGACATGATTATCTCAGTTTAGATATCTTGTAGTTATCGTCCTCGAAATTTTCTTATTCCATACTGTTACTTCAATTCCCTTCAGATGTTGATATTTTTCACTTAGAACTTCTGGCTATCTCAGAATAATTTGTTTCATTCGTTTCATTGTTCCCCAATTAGAACAGATTTTTAAATGTGATATCTTTTGGTTTTTTGTCTAAATTGATTATGTAAATATAGTCATCTGTTTTTAAACTAATTGTCTATAAAATTACAGCAAACTAAATAGGGCTTGTCTTTCATTTTATCATTTCTTTCATAAACGTCGTTGTCATGGTTTTTTGGTCAATGTTTTTTTTCTATGGTTAATCATTATATATATACCTAAATAAACTGATTAGTAAATCGTTTTTGCAAAACGTATTTATTAAAGTAAAGCCTGAATCTTAATGAAACAAATAAATCTATTGTGAATGACCTTACAAAAACATCTATGTGTATTTGTGTATCATTTTCATGTGAATGTTCTTATTTTTCATCTATTCGGTGTATATCTAAAGTAGCTGATCAACAGATAAAAACAATAAATAAAACGATGCTCATTTTTAATTTGATGAAAGCAACTAGTAGACTAAAGTATGTCAGTTGTGAGATATGAATTACTAATGTACAAGTTAATACAATACCATTCCATTTAAATAGCTATGTGACTTAAGCGGTAGTATTTACCTTCCAGTTTAATTTCATCGATTGATAATGTTGTCAGTACTAGGTTTAGATGGACAAATTGTATTTATTTCTTGTGATAATATTTGACCAGTTGGATCTTACTTTCGAATTTCATATATTGATTGTAATTGAGTTTTTGGAACAATTGCATGATTATTATTGTTATGAGTTTGTGGATAATTTGTAATTTTCAAAGTTTAAATCACAAACCAATCTTAGCTAGATTAGCATTTAGAACATGGAAGCACTGGATGACCGTTTCATCTTAGTATGGGACTCGTTAGTAAAGCGAATCTACGACTCCCATTACTCATAATCGAACGAAACGACCACTCAGTGCTTCCAGGTTTTTAGTGGTGGTCTAGCGAGAATACTGACTTCAATAAGCTTGTCAGAAGTTGTAACTTATCAATATGATTAGTGTTAGTAACAAAATATTGAATTATTTACTCATCTAATGATCTCCCACTTCATGATGGTGACTTACTCCATGACCTTTATGTGTAATGTGACACAAACTGGTCACATGGCTCGTGATTGAACTGACTAGATGAGTGTGAATAAGAAGTCTACACTGTTTAAATGTATTTTAATTACTAGTAACTGACTCCAAAGGTTTAAGGTTAAAATGGAACACAATAAAATGTGATCTACATTTTACCTTGTTAGTCACATAATATAATTCCTATTTATATGTCAGTCCCATAGTCTAACTAAGGACATTAAGTATGTACTTGTCTGATTAAATAATTGTGATTCAATCAGGGAGGATCAATTTATTCCATTAAGCAGTTTGTTGTCTTACTAAAAATATTCACAACGTTTTCACTGTCCAATAGGTGTTGTATTTAGTACTTTTGACCACTTGTTCCTCCGTTGAGTGGGTAACTGCTACATATTAGAGTGAATTTTTCACCAAATATTTCATTTCAAGCGTCTGGCATTATTCAAAACTGTTTGCTATAGAAATGTCAATGTACCGGAAACCAGCACGCCAGGTGAACAATGCAAATATGACGAAAGATAAACCTTGATACGAAATCTCAGTAAAAGTATACCATACTGATGGTCTTGAGTTAATTAATAAAAACTGAGTTAGCTCCTCTTAGGTTTTGTGCAGTGCAGGATGACTTACATCTTATAATGAACTAAATAAGAATTGGCAATGTTTGGTTCTTAAAATGTTTTAAGTCGACAAAATATACCCGTTATACAATCAAAAAGTCAATATAAGATGGTGCTTATACCACGTTAAAAGAAATATGTGGTCCTGGTGCATATTGTGCGTTAAAGCATCTAATATGATTCAGTGCATAATTAAGCGTGTTTAATGTAGCTAGACAGTATTCTTCTATTCTAGCTCCTAACACTTGAACTCAAAAATAAGTTTTTTAAGTTTATAAAGAAAGGGGTGGTAATTAAAGGATTATTGCATGATAGCTGATGCTAGTTCATGATGAAAACCACAAACCTAATTTGTAAACCGAATTCGTGACCGTAGCTAAACTCCTAATGACTAACCCTTACCATTTCGCATTTCGTCTGATGTCATTTGGTGATGAAAACCCTATGGGACCGTAACTCAGACTAAAAGCTAACCTAACTTCCTATATAAAAATTTAGACATTTTCCTTCACCATAAGGAATAATTCAATATATAAGGGCTAATTATTCGTACTAAAACCGCCTGGAGTCCCTTTCCGGGGGCTACTGCCGGTCCCAAGCCCGGATAAAGGAGGAGGGTTGGGCATGGGGTTAGCGACCCCATCCCGTAGAAAACTAACTCGCTAAAAAAACGCTAACCAGAAAAAATTATTCAAACCATTTAAACTCTGCCCTGAGAGTCAGGAGGTCTTCGTTTAGAAGAATTATGACGCCTCATGATGAAAGCCGAGTTTCTTCGGAAGTCACGAGGCCGATGCCCCTTCTGACAACCAGAGCAACCATTTATTTAGGTACATGGAATGCTCGCACAATGTGGGAGACTGGGAGAGTTTTCCAAATTGCTGCAGAAATGAGGAGATACAATTTAGAGGTGCTTGGGATCAGTGAAACACATTGGACGCAAGTTGGACAACAACGACTAGCTTCAGGAGAGCTGCTGTTATACTCCGGACATGAACAAGAAAATGCCCCACATACACAAGGAGTTGCATTGATGCTGTCCAAACAAGCACAAAATGCACTTATAGGATGGGAATCTCATGGACAAAGGATCATCAAAGCCTCCTTCAAAACAAAGAAAACGGGGATTACAATGAACGTCATCCAATGCTACGCGCCTACCAATGACTACAATGAAGACGCTAAAGATCAATTCTACGATAGGCTGCAGTCAATCGTCGAGAAGTGCCCAACAAAAGACCTGACTATTCTGATGGGAGACCTAAATGCCAAGGTTGGAATTGACAACACCGGATATGAAGAGATCATGGGACGACACGGACTGGGAGAAAGGAACGAAAATGGTGAGAGATTTGCAAATCTATGTGCCTTCAATAAACTGGTCATAGGCGGCACTATATTCCCACATAAACGCATACACAAAACCACATGGACTTCACCGGATCACAGCACACAGAACCAAATCGACCATATCTGCATCAACAAAAAGTTCAGGAGGACGATGGAGGACGTGAGAACAAAGAGAGGAGCTGATATAGCATCAGATCATCACTTGCTGGTCGCCAAGATGAAATTGAAACTCAAGAGGCACTGGACAACGGGAGGGACAATATCACAAAAATTTAATACGGCTCTTCTTCGGGATAATGACAAACTCAATAAATTCAAGATAACCCTCAGCAATAAGTTCCAAGCCTTTCATGATCTACTCAATGGAGAAGGAACTACTATGGAGAGCAACTGGAAAGAGATAAAAGAGGCAATCACTTCAACATGTCATGAGGTTCTGGGCCAAAAGAAGCACCATCACAAGGATTGGATCACGGTCGATACACTGGATAAGATTCAAGAAAGGAGGAACAAGAAAGTAGCAATCAATACCAGTCGAACAAGAGCAGAAAAAGTCAAGGCACAGGCTGAATACACAGAAGTAAACAAGCAAGTGAAAAGGAGCATCAGAACCGACAAACGTAAATATGTGGAAGATTTGGCAATGACGGCGGAAAAGGCTGCCAGAGAAGGAAACATGAGACAACTGTATGAAACAACAAAGAAACTCTCCGGAAATCACCGTAAACCAGAACGACCAGTGAAAAGCAAGGAAGGCAAGATAATCACCAACATTGAAGAACAACGAAACAGGTGGGTAGAACACTTCAAAGAACTCTTGAATCGACCAGCCCCACTGAACCCACCCAACATCGAAGCAGCACTCACGGACCTCCCAATTGATGTTGGCGCACCGACAATTGAAGAAATCAGCATGGCTATCAGACAAATCAAGAGTGGCAAAGCAGCAGGACTAGACAGCATTCCAGCAGAGGCACTGAAAGCAGACGTAGCGGCAACTGCAAGGATACTCCAAACTCTCTTCAAAAAGATCTGGGATGAGGAACAGGTACCAAAAGACTGGAAAGAAGGACTTCTAGTCAAAATACCAAAGAAAGGCGATCTCAGCAACTGTGACAACTACAGGGGAATCACTCTTCTTTCAATACCAGGAAAAGTCTTCAACAGGGTATTGTTAAACAGGATGAAGGACTCCGTAGACGCCCAACTTCGAGACCAACAGGCAGGATTCCGTAAGGATAGATCGTGCACAGACCAAATCGCAACTCTACGGATCATTGTGGAACAATCAATTGAATGGAATTCATCACTCTATATCAACTTCATCGACTACGAAAAAGCATTTGATAGCGTGGACAGAACAACCCTATGGAAGCTTCTTCGACACTACGGCGTGCCTCAGAAGATAGTCAATATCATACAGAATTCCTATGATGGATTAAACTGCAAGATCGTTCATGGAGGACAGTTGACAAAGTCGTTCGAAGTAAAGACCGGTGTCAGGCAAGGTTGCTTACTCTCACCCTTTCTCTTTCTCCTGGTGATCGACTGGATCATGAAGACATCAACATCTGAAGGGAAGCACGGGATACAGTGGATAGCTAGGATGCAATTGGATGATCTAGACTTCGCAGATGATCTGGCTCTTCTATCGCACACACAACAACAAATGCAGGAGAAGACAACCAGTGTAGCTGCAGCCTCAGCAGCAATAGGTCTCAATATACACAAAGGGAAAAGCAAGATTCTTCGATACAACACAACATGTACCAATCCAATCACAATTGACGGAGAAGTTTTGGAAGATGTAAAAACCTTTACATATTTGGGCAGTATCATCGATGAACACGGTGGATCTGATGCAGATGTGAAGGCACGGATTGGCAAAGCAAGAGCAGCATATCTACAACTGAAGAATATCTGGAACTCAAAACAATTAGCAACCAACACCAAAGTCAGAATTTTCAATACAAATGTCAAGACAGTTCTACTGTATGGCGCGGAAACCTGGAGAACTACGAAATCCATCGTCCAAAAGATACAGGTGTTTATTAACAGTTGTCTACGCAAAATACTTCGGATCCGTTGGCCGGACACTATAAGCAACAACCTACTGTGGGAGAGAACAAATCAGATCCCAGTGGAGGAAGAAATCAGGAAGAAGCGCTGGAAGTGGATAGGACACACATTGAGGAAAGCACCGAACTGCGTCACAAGACAAGCCCTCATATGGAACCCTCAAGGTCGAAGGAAGAGAGGAAGACCAAAGAATACATTACGCCGAGAAATGGAGATAGATATGAGAAAAATGAACAAGAATTGGATGGAACTTGAAAAGAAGGCCCAGGACAGAGTGGGTTGGAGAATGCTGGTCGGCGGCCTATGCTCCATTGGGAGTAACAGGCGTAAGTGGTGTAAGTTCTATATGCAACATTCAACCACAAAATTTACAAAAGAATATCCGATTGTTTTTAGATACAAGGTACCTATTGAACATCGATAAGGCTGCGAATAACCTCAACAAGTTATTTATTTATTGTTCATTTCATAGCTTAGTCTACAATTTCGATTGAATAGTTCGTTGTTAAATAATATCTTAATCACCAAATATGTATTTACATAGTTGGCTTGTTCTGCTTGTTCCGACCAGTTATTATCCATGGACAAAATTAATAACAGTTTATTGACCTCATCCATTCTGATAGTGAGAGTTTAAAACTATCGAAATTGAAACCTAAAAGCTTATGGGTCTCATGGCAGATAGGTTCGTTATTATTTGTTTATGTTGTTGTCCACAAGTCTCATAATGAGGTCAATCGTTTTGCACCGACCACCAAGGACGGTTAATATCTATTTGATCGACACTAAGTCTTGATGAATTCGGTAGTCATTTTCATACTGAATAAGTTTTTTTGAATTACTCATCATTTTAAATGATGAATTCATTATATACTCCATTTAATATTTAAAACACTATATCCGGCACAGCAAGTTTAATAAGAAAAGGGAAAATTTATTGTTCAAATGCACTATCAAATTGATGGACTGTACTTTACATTAAAGTCCCGAAAGTGTGTTTTGTTTCATTTGGGACTAAATGTATCTGCACCTACTGTTGATTTTCACGCCCTATATTGAACCCATTATCGATTCGAACTTCAATCACGTTATCCACTCTGTTGCAGAGCCCAAATAGCTACTGACTTGTTCATTGAGTACGGTGTTTATATCATTTTTATATTAATAGTTGAAACAATCCGCACAGACAGGATGCACATATCCCAATAAAGACTGACAAAAATTCATTCCAGAATATTATCAACGGAATAATTCAAATCGTTACTGATTATAATATTGTTTAAATATTGTCATTGAGTCCTGTTATGTATCCACGTTATTTTTTATTCCTATTGAAAAAATGAACATTTGAAGCTAAACGAAGGCTTTCGTCATATTTGGTTATGGCTTCACCCAGCAATGTCTACATCAGCTTGGGATTTACTACAAACTTCTATTAAAGAAGTCAATTCTTTAAATGATACACAATGTACACTTGAACTAGATGATGTAACTGGTTACTTTTGTCGTCTTCGTTTAATTGGTCGACAATCACATGGATTAATCAGTGATATTATTCAATTGAAAAATGGTAATACACTTGATGAAAATTGGACATCTTGGAATAATCTTTCCACAAAGATACGTGAAGCTGTCTGTGTCCCACCGGGACTTGTTATCAGTCTACAGGATTGTGAAAATTTCCGTTCTAATAGGTAAGGAAAGTATTTTAAAAAAATCTTTATCAGTTTGACTTTTACAAGTGTAATCGGTATGATAATGGTGAACAGATTGCACTGACCAACACATATTAAATACGATTATTCACTTTATTTACCTGATCTGTGGTGGCCACATTTTATTATTTAGCAAGAAACAACATAATTTACATTTTAAATAGTTTTGAAAGTAGTTGAATGATTGTTTCTAATTGAATTGGCAAGTAAATAAATGAACGATCCATTAGGGTTATTCAGATCACCTGACAACATAGATCATAATTCTGAAGTAGAGAAAATTTGAACTCATCGGCTAACACAAACATGTCGAATATGAACAATCGATTAAAACAAGATGTTCATTATATCAATAATTCTGGTAATACCATAATTTATGGATGACTTTTGAGCAACACTAAAATGACCTTGGAATGTTCACCTATTTAATAGGGTTAAATGTGGGTTGTATGTTAGTGTGAGGAATTAGCATTAGGATCTACAGTTTAATGTTGGGAATTAGATTTAATTTTTTCATCACGAACTGACATAAACTATAATGCCAAAATGGTATTTAGCCAAATGAGTAAATAAGTTCCGCAACAAAATTCAAGACCTGCTATCACAAATGTGATTGAGTTCATCCATAAATTATAGTCTCAACATAATTATAGATTTTCTTATCAGTTTTAATATACTATCCTCTTAGTCAACTGAGACATCTATGTGAACACAAGTGCGATGAAAAAAGGGATATTACTTCTTTTTTTGTAACATAATAAAGAAAATAATAAAAGTATGATTTTGTAAAAATTAATAAATCAGATCTCAGAAGATTTATACTCATTGTTCTGGATCTATATGAATATTTGTCGATATTTGAACGAAGAATTTGACAGAAATTAGTCTTCTGAATATGAGTATATGAAGGACATCATATGATAAAATTATATACCGTTGGAATTTAAATCATTCCCCTTCTTACAACAAACTAGTCTGAACCTCTTCAAGTACGAGACTTCCCACCTTTACTACGTCCACTCATTGTCCGTCAGGCCTCCAAATGCCTTGGTACGGTCAAGAGTGGAGAGAGTCAGCTCTCCCTCTCGAAATGCTGTCACATGACCATGCGTATATAGCCTCTGCCAGGGAAGTCATACTCACTGCCTTCTCGTGGCGGGGTAGTTGATTACGAAGTTGAGAGGACGAAAAGCGAATGTCCGGCGCTTTATCCGGGTTAGTGGACATAGATAGTCTACCTAGAGGAGTTGGGAAACCATGATTCCAAACCAATAGTGCACATGAGCTCCAGTATTCTGAGGGAACAAATGGCGTATGCACCGATTGTTGGTCACCGGCTATCATGCGACTGCATCTCCTTACGATGTTCCACTGCCTTATGGGTCAGACATTTAAGTCAAAGGTTTTCCACCTGCTTCGGTCTGGGCACCCTGGCAGTATCATAGCCTTCACACAATTAAAATGAAATGTGTGACGCATATATATCTGGTACCTCTTTGTACCAATATCTTTGTGTTCAAATAAATAAATAAGAATCTCTTCAATGTGATAATCAAAATTCCCAAACCATATTCCTATGTTGTTTTTAATGAGTAGGAAAATATAAGTCAGTAAGATGTGTATAATGGGAAAGTTCACAATATGAAAAAATGCTGGATCTGTGTATATATGCACATTCACTTCGTTAGTAGTAATAATTTAGTAAATAAATGCATGCAGCCAGCAACTAATCTACCACACCTCAACTCACCTCATATCATCCAGTCATCTATAACGTAGAACCAGGCACATATATGTATTAGTTAAAGTTGCCACACTTCATTATCACAAAAAGATAAACACCAAATTCATAGATGTAGTTATATACAAAATGAAGATCAAATATAAAGATAGGATACATGGAGAGAGAATTAGTTCGTAGAAATAAAGGTATAAGAAGTTTTAATCTCACGATTTAAAAGAAAACAAAAAGTATATACACCTACGCCATTGTGATCGATTGTGAGCCATGTCACCCATAGTCTACAACCACTGGTTACAATACTCACACAGATCCCAACCAAGTAGTCTGCATCTACCAACATGACTCAGACCAGAAGTTAGTGACTGTGTGAACTAATGCCTCGTTTTGGTTTGGCCACGGCTAACTTCCTTCCAACCATTTCCAACACTAGTCAGCATTGCGCGTCATGGTAATCTGTAGTTGTGCACGCGTACCGAGAACACTTTTCCCACTTGACTAACACACATTAATGTACATATAACAGATACAGAGCGTAGGACAATCAAATATCTGATTATCCATCAGTCTATCTAGAACAACGATCAAATAACATTAAGTTTGATCCATATAAAAGTTACTGAACTATAAATTGAGTAAATTTAAAATGAAGTAAATTCCATTAATTCACACCTGAACAAGAATTCTATGTAATTTAGAATCGCTACATAGATAAATCAGTATTTCAAATTGTATTTTCTGTACATCTTACTGAGTTTTCGCAACTGAATGGTTTAATACACATTGTCAAAATTTGTATTATTCAGCACTATTGAATCTCCTTCTTACTTTTGGTATTAACAAACTACATTATTTTGTATAAGTTAGTAATTATTTATGGATTTATTAACTCCGTGTAGACTACCAAGTAAAAGTTTAAGTCCATATATCAAATTTGTACATTTTCATGGATTAGAGGTTAGTTAATTCATTTGTTTTCTGTTCTTGTCCTTCAGATTCTTTATTTTGTTATTCTAATTGTCTTATAAGCATGTTTACTTATTATCAAGCGAAAAAATAAATGATATCCATTCTACAAGTCATCTATTATCTTTAAACGTAATTGTTTAAATTTTCCACTTAGATTAGAATGAAGATACGTATAATGTATAAATAAAAAGATCAAAATTTTTATGAAAATTCGTCCATTATCACTATCTGGATCCTTATTCCGTATTGTTGTTGTGATTAATATATAGATATCTTGATTTGATATAAGATTAATCTATTAGAAACAAAATTGTGTTAAGTTTGATATTTATATTAGCTGAGAAACTAATGAACTATTCAATAGATTAGATTAATGTGAAACGATTTGATTAAAAAATCTCATAGCTTAATTTCTTTTTTTATACAAAACTAATGTAAACAATAGATTATTATACATGGGATAGTTGAAATCATGAGTCAATTGAAGCTAGACCATCATGGAAAACCTGGACGCACTGGACAGACGTTTCGTCCTAGTATGAGACTCCTCAGAAGTACGCATCCACAATCCCACTCATCGCATCAGTCCCGCATGCGAGTGCTTAACCATTAAACCACTGAGCCGGCATCCAACGGACGAAACGGTTGTCCAGTGCTTCCAGGTTTTCCATGGTGGTCTAGCTTCAATTGACTCATGATTTCAACTATTAAAATTACTAAAATTTCCACAAAACCCCTTCTGATATAGGATAGTTATTGTTTCCCAGAAACTATCTTATGAACATAAATTATATAGAATGTCCTATTGTAGGACTCCTCGGCAGTGCACATCCACGATCCCGCCTCGCCCGCTTCGGACCCAAGACCTATTGGTCTTTCGCGCGAGCACTTAACCACTAGACCACTTAGCGGGCAGTCATCCAACGGTGTTAATGTCTAACTTCAACTAATCCACGAAATTGAGCGACACATCCACCATTGTCATCAGTGAGTTACTATCTCACAACTGACCCGATTGAACTCTACTGGTCACTGCTTCTCACAATATAGGATGTATCAAGTTGTAGAATTTAACAATGGTATTTCATTATAATTGGAACTTGTTAAATATATTATATAAGAAATTCTATTATAATCTTCAACAGATTATTTTTACTAGTCATAGTATCAGGAAGTATATTAGTTTTAAAATCAGATAATGTCAGTTAATACTTCATTTAAATAAATGATTAAATATTAAATGCGTTTATCAGGTCAGTTGATTTTGTCAAAAAAATTTTTTATTTTATTGTCAAAATTTTTTATTGAAATTTCAATAATAAGATCACATGAATGATTTTCATTAATCCTTGACCTTAATACACATTTTTAACTGTATACATTCTTTTTTTATTACTCTTATGTAATAATATGAACTTTTCAATTGCATTTCATGTTTGCTTAAAATGTTATCATTAGTATGAACTGATATTAATTTAGTTTACCTTTTGAAATTTTTAATTGTGATCATGAATCGATTGATGTTAGATCACCCCTAATGCTCTGGTACGGTCAAGAGTGGAGAGAGTCAGCTCTCCCTCTCGAAATGCTGTCACATGACCATGCGTATATAGCCTCTGCCAGGGAAGTCATACTCACTGCCTTCTCTTGGCGGGGTAGTTGATTACGAAGTTGAAAGGACGAAAAGCGAATGTCCGGCGCTTTATCCGGGTTAGTGGACATAGATAGTCTACCTAGAGGAGTTGGGAAACCATGATTCCAAACCAATAGTGCACATGGGCTCCAGTATTCTGAGGGAACAAATGGCGTATGCACCGATTGTTGGTCACCGGCTATCATGCGACTGCATCTCCTTACGATGTTCCACTGCCTTATGGGTCAGACATTTAAGTCAAAGGTTTTCCACCTGCTTCGGTCTGGGCACCCTGGCAGTATCATAGCCTTCACACAATTAAAATGAAATGTGTGACGCATATATATCTGGTACCTCTTTGTACCAATATCTATTTGTTCATATAAATGAATAAACCATTTAAAACCTGGAAGCACTGGAAAGTCGTTTCATCCGATTGTACGAGTCCTCAGTACTGGGCATCCATGATTCCACTCGCAGGCTTCAAACTCATGGCCTTCGGTCTTGTGCGAGAATGCTTAACGTCTAGACCATTGAGCTGGCATTCAACGTTGTTAATGTCCAACTTCAACCGATCCATGATCTTGCGTGCTGGATCGTGGATGTGCACTGCTAAGGAGACCCACACTAGGACCAAACGACCGTCCAGTGCTTCCACATTTTTAATGGTGGCCTAACATTTATCAGTCCATGATCTCAATCAAAAACCCCATACTGATAAATACCTTTTGACAGTTAATTAAAACTGCATAAATAATATCACAGTCAAAATGATTTTGTGAAATGTAATTTTCCTTGTTTATGTACTGCCATTTCTTTATTTAATAAATTCAGCATATATAATATTTTGTAAAATTATTTAAAAAGTTGATCTGGGAAATATTAGATATCTAATACATTTAGTCCATTTAATAGATTTGGATTGTGTAACAAAAAAATGAAAATTATCAGAACTACGTGATATATCAACGCAATAAATTTCGAAATGTATTGCGCTAATGTATTTCATTATATTATCCAAACATTAGAAAATTTATTTTATTATTCAGTGTATAACTATTAGAGTGTAGTATCTGTTCTTGGTATTCATAGTTTATCTTAAACGAACGCTTAACTATTTCCCGTTTTAGTATATTGACATTTATGTTCCATTAAAAGGTAAGTTTTGTTGCAGCTTGTAGAGTAATCGATTATAAGTCTTGAGTTTCAAAAACCTTTAGGATACCGAACTGTTGAATCTCCAGTGAGACAAATTACCTCTTTCTGATTATATTGCTTGTGTTACGTCCCTGATCCTCCTATCTAATAATTTACAAGAGAGAACTTGTCCTAATTTAGTTTAACGCTTTGACGCTATAGGCTACCTAGTTTAACCTTCAGGCCAGTAGTGCGTGAGTTCGACTTGTGACTAAACAGCTTTGAAGGCAGAAAAACAAAAAATTATTCTACCACCCAATTGGTTGTCAAGCGAGAGTGAGAGAGAAGACGAGTCGATTGGAACACTACTCGAATTATTCCTGATTCAGATTAACGCAAAGACACATGAAAAAGTAGATTACTAACACGATCAAAACGGATAAAGTGCTAGGAAAATACAATTATGTGAAAACTAAGCATCAGGATAGAAAAAGAGATTACAAAAGGTCACGTTTTAAATTACAACAATTTTGGAACTGAAAAGTATATGGTAATAAATCATGAAGTAAACGAAAGCTTATGACTTATAGAAACTAAATGTTACTATTTTATAGATTTAAAATAAAGTGAAGCAATGCTATCAAAAATAGCTTTCGTTGTTCATCAGGGCTTTTTTATTCATATAATCTTGTCATACACTATCAATATGTTCATTTCAAAGAACTGTTAGCTTTCTGACTATCCGAATAATGTACTGCATTATACAGAGTTCTATATTTTTCAATAATATCTTTTGTAGGCCACGTTTGAAAATTCGTAATCGAAATTGGTCTATCATGCCAATCAAATTAAGTGACAATGATCCTCAAAATCAGGACCGATCACGTACGATTGAATCGTTAAATAACAAATCTGGTTTCGTACTACCTTCTGGTAAACAATTATCTTGGTTAGATATTGATAAATTCTATCCAAATCACACTAATTCACCTGATCAACTACTTTCAACAAAAATTAATCTGGTATTTGTTTTTTCTTTAATTTTAATATTTTCAATGTTTTACTTGAAATAAATTTCAGTTTTCAATATAGGGATTTGTAGAGATTGCAGTATTTTCGTTGTTGAAATTACGAGTCGATCTAAGCTAAACCTTCATTAAAGACCTGGACGACCGTTTCGTCCTAGTATGGGACTCCTCAGCATCACACATACACAATCCTTCTTGCGGGACTCGAACCCAGAAATTTAGACATCGCGTGCGGACGCTTAACCTGTAGACCACTTAGGTTGACTCATGAATTAAATTGTGAAAATACTACAATCTCCGCAAATTTCCGTACTGATAACAATAATTTGCTCACCAGTGACTGGCTTCAGGATGTAACTTCTGGAGTTTTAGTGAGAAACCGTGACCAGTGGAGTTCAATCTGTGTTGGGTGCGAGACAAATATCTACCTCAGGTTTGGGATGGAGGTCATAAATTGGCTGAATTTAGACGTTAACAACGTTGGATGCCGTCTGGCAAACAAGACTAACGTTTTTGTGTTCGAGTCCCGCATGTAGGACCATGCATATGCACTTCTGAGAAGTCCCATACTAGGACGGAACGGTCGTCCAAAGCTTTCAGGTCTTCAGTGGTGGATTAGCTTAGATCAACTCGTGATTGCAACTGTGACCATAAATGTTTTATAAAAAATATTTTTATATCATGTTCATAGAAAATGGCAATTTATGAAGAAGATAAAATAAAACAAGTACAGTGAATTTTTGAGGACTTATTGTAAACAAGGTGAATTTGTGTTCTAAGATATCCGAGTATGTTATTCTTCTCGATTACCCTGACTATAAACAATTGTTCTTTCTTATGAGACTTCGAAAGTAATTATTTATTTTTACCTTTAATGGTTTCATACTTGTTTGTGTTTCATGTTACTTTTATTACTCGATTAGGAAACTAAAAAAAACAGCATAGATGTTGTTTTGATCCAGAATAGTACACCGTCATTGATTCGTTCGTCACCTGAAACTGTTGGTTGGGATATAATATTACGACGAAATTTTCCACAGTCAGAAAATGATTTATTACTTCGTGGTTCTTTAACAGCGCGTGATTTTCTCATAGCTTGTGTTTATCGAGGAGCTGAAGTTGGAGGTCTACGAGATTTATATTATTGGGCTGGACTTGGAACATGTGCAGGTGGACGTTTTGATTCATTTCCGGAAACTCTATGGCCTGATACCTTAGCTGGTCGGAAATCTGCAGAAATTGTCACTAAAGAGAAGTTAGATAAATTTATGTAAGTTTATAGTGTATTACTAAGAAATAGTAGTTTCTTAGTGTGCATTATTTGATTAATAATAATGATAATAATATGATATAGATTTTGAAAATAACTACAGAATGCACATTAATTTACAGAGATAATCAAGTTTATTTTAAAAGTAATGGTACGTGATTCATAGATGTTTTAAGTTAAACTCTTGTCACATGAATTTTAATAACATGAAGCAGGTGGATTGTACAATCATAAATGACAGAATTTTGTAGCACAACATTTTTACTGGTGTATACCACGTAGAACTTATCAGCCTTGTAAACACAGTTATCTCGGTAAGCGATGTGAGACGAGATTAAGTACGTTAAGGAAGTGGTATGAACCATTTGGCATGATAAATGATCCATAAGACCAAACAGTTAGTAATCAGTATTTTCTTAGTTGTAGGATAAGAACTTCATGTTTTTTAATAAATGGAGTCACCAATAGTGATTCGATTCCTGTTACTGGGTAATTATAGCTATGTAAAACTTAAAAAAAACGAAAAAAAGAGCACGGCATAACAGCAGGAAATGTTACTTTGATCGCTCTGTCGCCTTATATATTTTTTTAATTGAGATCACTAACTGGACCCCGCAAGCGGGATCATGAATGTTCACTGCTAAGGAGTCCCACAACAGGACGAAACGGTTGTCCAGTGCTTCCAAGGTTTCCATGGTGGTCTAACATCAATCAGTCCATGATCTCAATCAAAAACTTAACAATCTCCATAAGCCTATACTGTATCATCACACATATGTTAGCCTTTTTCGTAACCAAATGATATATAGAAATTCCATTTAAATTATTCAGGTTTTGTATTTACATTCTTAAAATAACGGAGTGGATTAAAAAGTTTAAGATTGATCTAAAATAATATAAGGGATCAACCTACTTCATTCATATTGATAATATTTTGCTGATTCCAATCTTTTGTTTACATCGATTTCTTATAAAATGCCAAGATTTTTATGCTTCATTATAATTTATTTACATTTCTTTTCAGTCGTCTTCCAAGTAATTTACGCCCTGATTTTACTAAATTCGGTATTACTTGTCCATTTGTTTATCCGTGGTCTGAACTTATTGCACAAAATTCTATACGTGTTGGAAAAACAACAGATTCAATTGTTTCATCAACAATTTCTAGCAATGATAATGTAATTACATCTAGTTCAGTTAATAATAATAAATGGTTTGTTCTTCGTGAACCAGGATTACTTCGTCTAGTTGTACATAGAATGATCGTTGGAGAAAATCGTGCTAAATTATCATTACAACAATTGTATAATTATAATTCATTACTTTTAAATGCAATTATTCTAGTAAGTAAATTAATTTATAGTAGTCAATATGATTTTATTAAATATTTTATTATTTTTGTGTGATAATCAATTAAACTAAGTAAGTAGGTATCATTAACTAAGATTTGATTTGATAATTTCAAATAAATTTAGCATTGGGTAGATTGTTATAAATAAAAATAATCCATTTGTAATATCCCAATGAGTAAAAAAATTAGATTTTCTGATGTTTCGTGACTTAGTGTAAGCCACTTCTTCAGAGAATATAAGTAGCCATATCAAAATTAATCCAAGTTTAAATAGTACAAAGGAACAACGCAAGAATATGATTACGACTCATTGGGATATTACAAATATATTATTTATTTAAAACTAAGTAAGTGTTTACAGATATGGAATAGATAATAATAATAATAACAATAATAATAATAATAATATAAACATATTCGAAAAATAATAATTACAGAATTTATGCCAGTTTACAGGCATGATCAGCTTGATATAGATATCAATATTAAATGTGGACAACAGAGATGTAATATAAGTCTGTTTTAAGTTTTCTAGTTCCAAATTTGTTTAGATGATACATTTTCCACATATATTACAGCGATGAAGGGTATCATCTAACAGCTTTTAATTCTTTTTTAAGTGGACATCCTGTTGATGTATGAATGATGTATTTCAGGTCGTTTTTAGTACCATAACTGATTGATTATAATCATCTACAACTAGAGAAAATAAAAGCACCGAGTAATTAAAGCAATTATTACTACGATAGGTTAGTGTGGTCTACCATGATACATGTGCTATGTTATTTTAAGATATACTGTTCGTGTTAGATATTATTCAAATTTACTAAGGTTACGAGGGACGGTGCGAGTGTAAAGTATTCAGCAGGTATGGAAGTTTACTTAGTAGGCTCAGCAATAAAAGCAGTTAAGCATTTAAAGATCGTTTCACTAATGAAAAAGAGTTACGGTTGCTGCAACTATGAGTTTCTACATATTAAATTGCTTCATAGGATGTATATGATAGTTTATTAAGTATTTGGAAGAAAAAGATTAGATTTAGTTCAAGTTTTCTCTTCCTTATAGGATCAGGTCCAAGTTTGTTACATTCACACTTTATCTGATTTTTCAACTTCAATATTGTTTCTTGACGTATCAGCCCATTGAAGTTGGTTGTGCTTTTATTAGTGAAGCCGATTGGCTTTTCTGGCTAATAAATTGTCATTTTGAGACAAACATTCACCACATGTATACGCTTTCGTGAGGAAATCGTAGGAACTCCGTGGAGGCGTCGCGCCTAGGACTAATACATGCATTATCAGTAACACAGTTTTTCACTGATGCATCCCAGAGCATAATCTCTTCCTTGTGAGGATTGGTGGTCGTCACTCCCTTGAATCGTACTTGCTACATCTTTTTCTTTATATCCACGTACTAGAGGTACATAAGGTTGCGCTCATGCGCATTAGCAGTCTTAAAGAGATTGATGGTTGTTCCCTCTCATTTTCATGGGTCAAACTATCTTTTCTCTTTATGGGACTTATAACGTATTTGCATATCATTTGTACGTAATACTCCGTAAGCTATTTCGTTGTATGAACTTCATGGAAAATAAAAAGGTACTCACCAAATACAATGAAAGATAGTTGCGCAATATCTTGAACTGGCCGAAATTAGATTTGTACAGCAGAGGATTCCGGCTCAGTGGTCTAAAGTTCAAGTGTTAGCACACATGACTGAAGTTCTTTGGTCCGATTTCCAGATCCAGAGTAGTGGATGCTCACAGCTGAGGAAATTCATACTATGGTGGAACAGTTGTCGAGTGCCTCGTGGTTGTCTAACATAGATTTGTTTTTGGTTTTAATAAAATCAGAAGCACTGACATATTATCTTTTTGTAACGTCTCAGACAGAAAAGGAGTTCCATCTAAGGCTTTTTATTTTTACATAAAGCTGTCTATTCGTTTGTCATGTTAATTACTAACCTGGATCTTAGGAATACACTTGTATTTGACGGAGGTTTTGCATTTTAGCTTGGTGAATATATGAAGGCGTTTTCCCAATGACACGCTATTCTGTGAAGGTTTATTTGTCGCAAGTACGAACTTTAGATGTAAAGAGAGATACTGTTTAATCTGACAGCTACAGAAGTCAGCCCAAATCTAACACAGACTGATTATTTCTTCATTCAATTTTAGGACAGATATGCAAAACACTGTCACTAAATTTAAAGAATTTCACTCAGGTCCGACCTTGATGTACTGTGAGCATACATATTACGTAGCACATAAAAATGTTAAGTTACTAAACTTATTCTTCATAAATCATACAGCTTATTCAAGTTTGGAAGGAGCTATGTGAAACTCCTATTGACATTTTCAAACAGACCAGTCCGTTCGAAACATAAAGTTTATAAATTTATTTCAGAAATAATTTTAATAGAGGCATATTTTCTAGAGTTCCCGTTGGACAACTGAGTAACCATAAGGCTTTAAAACAGTCTGCTTTTTGTTTATTCATCAATAAGATCTCTTAAATAAATTTTATTATTTGTATTCAAGGTTTATTTGAAAACTGAACACCGAGGTGTACCACAGGAATATGCGCGTATTTACGCATTCTATCCTGATGAATTTACTAGAAAAAATTCAAGAGAGGATAATAGTAATCCTGTGACTAATTCAGCTGATGATAAGGAGTCTCCACAGAACTCTCATCGTCTTCTAATTGGCTATGTTCAAGATGGTGGTTATGGTCAGTCAATAGGTCGTGGAATTGGATTGGGTTTTATCAGTTTAAGTGCTTTATCAAATGCTTTAAATTTGATTAACACTACCAAAAGAATAAAATATTGCATTCAAAATCCTACGTCACATCAATCCTATACTGTCAGACTTTCTGTAGTGATTTAAGACAGGATGTTCAGTTATAATGTCTATAATGTAAAAAAGCAATATAATTTATACGAAGTGTAAATGTAGTGTCTGCTTTCAGTTTGTAACGCAGTATGTAATACCTCTTCAGACACCGATTCAGATTATCTTCCAAGCTTTAAACAGTTAGCCCACGTTTTTCAGTGTTAGTACATATGTTTAGTGACTAATGCGATTACTACTCTGAATCTTCCATCCTCTTCTTAATTACCGTAATATTGCTTAACAAATATAGATTACAATCGGGTACTCACATTGGAAGATTTCCACTCATTACGAACAGTTTCTTGAATTTTGCTTAATCCTTGTTTGTAACTGTAATAATATTGATTAAAATGTCCGAAATGCAACTTCCAAAAAATACATTAATGGGGCTTTCTAAATTGTGGTCATTTTTGGTGTAACAGAACTATTAATCTGTATCCTATAAATATACCAGTTTGTCTACTATCACGAAATGAATGTATAAATTAATGAAAATAAATTTATCTCCGTGAGGATATCTGCTGAATACGTTCAGTGGTGTAGATTCCTAATGATGTCATCAATATTTACAACTATATATGTTATCATCATATTAGGTCAAGGTCGAAATGCTGTTTACATGAAAAATTATGATAATTTGAACGGGTTTATTCAATATCAGAATAATTGATACAATAAATTTGTCGTTCTCTACTTTTCAGGTACCTAGAATACCTAGTATCATCCATTCAATATTTAGACTGCTTCAAGTTATCGTTAATTTTTTATTTATATTTCATGTGTGTTGTAGTTTCTTATCGAAAGTCTCAAATTAGTTAAATACTGTAGAACAGTATGAAGTATCAATACAAAATACTACAAATACTTATTTAAACAAATTTATGAACGAAGAATATTATTTCTAATAATTCCTCATCAGAATCTACATTTGTACATCCAAATTGACGAGCCATGATGGTAGGAATACTTAGTATTAATTATCGAAAGCGGACTTTGTCAATTAGAACAAATCAATAACAGTTGGATCCGGAATACATCCGATGACTAGTTGGAAATTAGAGAGAAATAAAATGATTTGTATCATGAAGCTAGACTGGCGAGAGTAATTTATGGACGACCTTTGGACGAAGTTTAATTGACCTTGAGAATATTAGCCAATCAGCAAACTGTAACCATAAAGTAAAAATATATACAAAACCAAGGAAATAAAGTGGATACACTTCTTATACGTGGCTCAAAAACTTATCAAGTTTAGAAAGAGGTTCTGAAATCGTAATGCATGCAGTGGGAGAAGTCATCCATACGGCTACAAAATAGTCGGCCTCTGGAGCCATGATAAAGTCTCAAAAACTCTTTCAGCCTCGACCGCATGGCTTCAACATTGTTTAGGTGCACTCCGGTTGTTGAGTAAACAAAATCCCACTTGTGGATAACGACACGATGCACATAATCAAGCCTATGTAGCAGTCTGTAAGCACTCCTAACATCCGTATATATTGTAGTACCTGGCTGCAGCCAGTGGTACTGGTGCGATAATTGTCATAGTGTGCTTTGGTTAGGAACTATATATGGGCTTTTCATCACGAACTGACATCACCTATAATGCCAGAAATCCACTTAGCCAAATGGATGAAAGGCTTTCGCGTTAAAATCCGAGATCTGTTATCTTATACCTGATTGATCCGTTCACAAATTATAGTCTCGCCGTTTTATTTGTTATAGCCGCTCAATTATCACGTTTTGTACAAAATTCCCAATGAACCCATCGTACGTTAGCATTAAGCACTGAAGTTGGCGCCGTAACTTTGAAATCCCTAAGACGCTTCTGATTGGCTCGTCCATAAACCGGGAAGCAGTGGACGAACGTTTCATTCTAGTATAGGATTCCGCTAAGCGCATCCACGATTCAGTACGCGGTAATCGAAAAAAGACTCTCCGGTCTCGCGCCCGAACTATCTTCCATACTAGAACAAGATAGCTGTCCAGCGCTTCTGGATTGGTCTAATATTGGTTCCAAAATGAGTGTTGGTAAATGGTATACATTGAATAGCCTGTATATCACAATACAATGACGTCATATTCTAAATGTAGAAAGGTAAAAGATTTACATCGCAAACATGTATGTATTTCAGACAGAGCAAAACAGTGAAAAGGGATGGCATTACCAGGCAACCTCACAAAAGCCTGAAGTTGGTTGGAAAAAACATGAGGTCATGCAACCTGATTCTATCTGAATTTTTTATATTTTCAATAGGGTTAACCAATGTTTTACATACTTCTATCAAGAGGATCTATTCACATTCAGATTTGAATGATATAAACAATGAGTTGCAACGTCATGCATAAGTCTTAGAATAGCGTAGTCTCACACTGAATAAAACTCTCCAGAAAGCATACATTTATCAGCTCTGAACAATAAATATAGGTATGGTACTTTGCGAACCCAGGTGGCCTGAATTTGACGGTGTTATTTAGCGTAAAATATAATAATGACAATCCTAAAATCAGATAATTTGATTCATTTGCAACTTGAATGAAAGATTTTATGTAGTTTCGTGTACCTAAACTAGACTAGGTGGACCATAGCGGTTGTCATTAATTGATATACTTAAGTCTAAAGTTATGGAAAACCGACGTAAAATTTTCGATTCAATGATATAAAACAATAAAACTGAATGTTACGAAAAACTCATAATTTACGATAAGACTTCGCAAATTTTGTAACATTAAAGTTTGAGAGAATATTATTGTTAACTGACACTTCTGTTAAATACAAAGATTTCTGGTAATAGACATCATTCACTTTTAATTTCACATGTAATACAAAAAGAAAAGTGTATCATGATAATATTTATTTCTTAACTGTCATTATCACCATTTATATGGAAGAAAATTACACATTAGCAAGCAAATAAAATGAATAACTACAACGTATGGAGATGAGAGAAACATCACTGTCGTCAGTTTGGAGACGGTGGAAGCAGATCATTGACAAATTCCAGATCATCATCTAGTTGAAGGAAATAAGAATAATAGTTATTAAAAAAAGATTGATGATTGCGCAAACTAACAAAGCTAGCTTTCTCTACAAGTCTAATTTCGCAATAGCGAACTGATTAGTTTGAATATTATAGGGAAAATATAAATATACAGTTACCTGTCAATCAATACTTACCTGTCTGATTGACTTAACTGAAGAACTATGCATTATTTGTGAGATTCACTATAAAATGCACTACACATGAGTAGTATTTCAATGATCCATCATAAAATAACTGTTAACTTATTTGTTGATGCGTTCTCTTTGTCTGTTCTGCTATATTTCACTAGTCATTCTTGAACTCGTGCTGTTACCGAGTTTATTACCTTGAATGTAAGTTTTAATCGAAGCTAATTATTATGTACAATAGGGTCATTCATTATTTATGTAGAAATATTCTGATGAGCCAACACTTGTTCTACTTTAATCTGATTCCATTGAGTTATTTAAGTGAACCTAACATCTTATGTGACGGTTAACATACAAAATTTGGTAAACGGAACGGGTTCGAACCCAGGATCTAATAGTTGAAACTTTCGAATGTTTCTAAACTAATGATACAGATACTGACTTATTTTATGCACTTAGTTGATCTGTTAACTATTTCACCCAAGAAAAAGTAGCATTTTTAATTTTGTTGTAGGCAGGGAATCGTCTGACTGGTTACACATTAAGAGTTAATCACACTAGCCATTAAAAATGGTACAACTTACCAATTAGATTGAAGCTGCTATTTATCGGAGTACATAAGTGAGATGTTTTTAATTCCATATTAGAAGAGACTAATGTATATTTAATGGAAGAAGAAAAAACCAACGAAATAAATCAAGCTTATAGACATACAAAATAGGAATCAAGATTCACCAATAATAATAATTTTCCTAAAGTTTCTTGTTTCGATTTTTAAATCAGAACATTTACAGGATAAAAATGTGTAAAAAGACACTTTACAACATAATCTACATAGTACATTGAAACAAAAATACTAATTTGCTTTCAGTAGCGATTATATACAAACAGAATTTTTGAGATAGTAGGGAAGATTTGTAACCTAAGTAGATAGATCTGGTGGCCTTATTCTTTGAGCTCAGTGGTTTGATCGAGCACCTTCCATTTTCCTTCTGAACAACATTATTAGCACAAATCTCAGATAGAAATGAACTATCTGCATTCATTCACACAAGACTAATGCGTCCTGTTGACCTCGACCTCGACTGACTGATGACCCTTGCCCTGCAATCGCTCGTAAATCTATTTAGATTATCATTCCTTTTGACTTGATTCTTGACTTTATAACTGTCCATGACTCTCATAATTGACCGAAATCAGAAAAACATGGACGACCGTAAGATTGAAAACTGATAATCAAAATAAATATGCAAGTAATGACTAGACAAGAGTCAATATCAACAAATCACGATCAAGGTCAACCCGATTATGTGTCAGTCTTAAGTGAGGAAATCCGGATAGCCCCAAAATTTATGTCTACGTTGTCCAAAAGGAAATTGAAAACTTCATAACCAAACCACTCAACACAGAAAACAGGACTCTATCACAAATCAAATACTAGTATTGTATATGTTTAAACTAAAAATTCTGACATCAGCTATAAGGTATGTAAGATTACAAAGACGAAAAAGTCTACTGATGTATAAAGAAAAGTAAAAGTTAGTATAATATGTTAGAAAGAAAATTCCTACATACACGTTTAAAGTAAAAACAAGCAGAATTATACATTACCGCTTTAGAAGTTAATTATTATGTCGCCAAAATCTATTCAAGAGATAAATAATGACCATTTCCCCGGAAACCAAGAGATGTTGAGGAAAAAAAACAATTCCATAAGGTGAGGATTTCTATATCCACTTTGAACGTTTATTCTTATTTACTATTGGAAGAGAAGTGTTATTATGGCGTCATATTATACAAATTATATTAGGTATGTATTTGCACT